CTTATCTGCCTTCTCCCCACTATTGCCTCCCTCTTGCTCTCCTACTTTCCTCCTTCTTTACCTTTCCTTTCTCCTTATGATCTGCCCACTTCACTGTTTTCTCACTTATCCCTATCCATATAGCTCTCTCTCCTCCTTTTGTCTCTCCCCACATTTCCGACTTGTACTATCTCTGTAAGACATGGTTTGATAAGACACAACCTACCTGGGAGTGTGACAGTGGGACCTCTCTCTGCTTCCCATGAACCAGGATGGAGCCCCACTCCCAAACTTCCTATTGCCTCTCTCCAGCTCCCTGCTAGACTTCACCACTTTTCTCCCTTGCAGGGCCTTCGTTCAAACTTTATTCCATCATCAAGGAAGCCATCTCTGCCTGTAAAAATCCCCCCTCTTATTTAAATTCTATCTAAAATGCCCCCTTCTCCAGGAAGCCTTTCCTATTCTTCAACTGAGGCTATTTTCTTTGCACTCCATTTGTGCCCACCTTTAACCCTTATCACAGACAGGTATGTCCTTCTCAGTACTCAGAGGGCAGAGGCTGGGTTTGATCACAGGGTACCAGTTTCATCTCCAATCTAGTACATCTTTGGCCCAAAGGAGGAACTCTGGGAAGATGACCCAAATGTGGCTGTGGTTCAGTCTCTCATTGGAGTGTCCCTCCCTAAATTTCCCAGCCTTGATTCTACCCCTGCTGCTCACCCCTCACAGCTCCTGGCTGGCCTTGGCCTGCCCAGTGCTCCCAGCTCAGCCTCACACAGCTCTGGTCCTGTTCCTTTAACCTTAGGCAGGGAACACCCGGCTGGGAGGGCAGTGGCTGGTAGCCAAGGCCAAATCTAATAGTTTCTAGCCAAGCCTGAAGAGAGGGAGTATGCAGGAGGGGCTTCTAGCCTTGGTGGTTGGTCCCCAACTTGAATTTTTAGACCTTGTTGAAAACTGATTCATTTCAGGTAATTGTTGTAGGGGTGTGGCACAAGAATCACATAGCTCTGGGAGAAATGGGTAGAAATATTCATCAATTTTTGAGATCCACAAGGAACCTAGTTAACTGAATTAAACCAGCCAGATGTGGCAGCCACCATTGGTGGTCTAGGGAGTGAGAGAAGGGGAGAGAGTATTGAAGTGGGAGACCAAGTCCTGGAATCCAACACCTGACCTTTAAGGAAAGGGGAGGGGCATACACTGGGCAAGTTACAGGTTCCTCTAGGTTTGTCTCTTTATCTGTAACCAATACTGTCTGGGGATCTACTTATGGAATATATTCTCTTGTCTGAGTGCTCCAGGAATGCATATAAAATGCAGTCAAAATAAGTCTAAGTCTTGTGTAAATAAGTAAATTTCATGATCTATATAGTTACTTCTGTAGGAAAGAGATGTAGTACAAAACGGGGAGAGTAAAGGGCAAAACGAAGTATCATTCCACTTCAATTTCTGTTAAAGCCAATGTTTGCAGGTATTAAATTCTACACATCAAACTGTTTTTAAAAGAAGTTTTGGTGCTTGGGAATTTCCCCATTCAATACCTATAAAGACAAAGGTCCTTGAGACAGATCACACACACACGTGCGCGCACACACACCTGCATGCACACACACGCATGCACACACACACACACAGAGCAAGAGAGAGAACTAATCCTGGTTGCAATTTTTCAAAGTGACACCATTTAGACAGATCAATACTATCTAGCTAAGATATGCATTCACCACATAACCCTTGGTCTAGGTGCTAATTTTCTAGTGACTTAGCTAATTAAGTTAGCAAGGTAGTGTAAATCTCAATCCTTTTCTCAATCTCTCAGTCACTCAATACGTCTCCCTCCTGCTCTCCCTCCCATTGGCTCTCTCTCGATGACAGGCACATAGCCTGAGCTATTCACTAGAAATGAGAGGAGCATGTTTCTGTTAGACAGTGCTTAATTGCAACTTTGGAATCATACAAGCAATTGGGGTTAAAAAGTACCCTTTGATTTTTTTATTTCATGTTGAGAAGTGACCATTTCAGAGAAGTATTTTTGAAGAATAAATAAGTATTAGGACAACTATATGGTCCACCAGTAAGAAGCTTCCAAGAAACTGCATCACGTAGAAATTAAATGACTTTGCTCTTCCAGACGGTTCTTATAGTGATGGGGGAAAAAATCATACCTAATGGTCTTTTCAGTTTTAGGACTTTTACAAACAGAAGATTAAATTATGACTTGAATGGTGTTAGCCATAAGTCTTCAAATTGTAATCTTATTTTTAGTTTACTCATCCATGCATTCACCTACCAAACAAACATTTACCCAATGTTTACTTATGTGTCAGGCACCTGATTATGCAGTGAAAGACGTTCTCCCCTCTAAGCTGTCCCTTAGAGTTTACAATTCTTGCATTTTGTAAGTTGGCTAACTGCCATTTTATGTCTTATTTATTAGAGATTTTAGAGGTGTTATATTTTCTTCATTAATCAAAATTTGCATGACACAAGTAGAAAGCATACATTATGAGTATAGTAAAGCCTCAGTCCACAGATCCTGTAGGAAATTAATATGAAGCTTGATTTTCTTAGATGTTTCCTTAAATTGTGGATAATTTAAACTATTAATTTATTTTTGGTCAATAGCTTTCTAAATACACTAGAGTTCTTTTCCTTTAGTGTAGAACATATTAATGACTCAAGGTTACCATTAATATTAAATATTATGCTATGCTGTAACACAGTGGCTCTATTAGGCCCTTTCATGGAATATAGAATGATTTGCATCAATACTGAGTAGGCCTTGACCACTGTGATTTCTTTGGTTCTATTGCCTATTGCTTTTGCAGTTTATCTGTCTTCTTTCCTGTCAGGTCTTACTTTATGTTGCTGGTATCTATCCCACTACTCGCTCAAGTTCTTGATTCTTATTTGCTGTTTTTAAATTGCTGTAGGCCTCCAAACTATATAATCAAGAGGCAAAGTGGTTGTTAGGGAGGATAGAAAGATGCTTCTATCAAAACGTAAGAACTTAATTTTTGTGACATCTCTTCTGGTTGTTGAGAGGCTAGTTGTTATTTTCTTCTTGTTTCTTCATAATGTTCTAAATGTGCTGGGTAGCAGTGTTCTTGATAGTTGGATTTATTCTGTATTTACAGCATAGGGCATTCTCTATGGTTTAATTTGATTTTTTAAAAGGATTTCTTAGAACTATATGTTGTAACTGGTAGGCAGATTTTAAGCTATTTAAAAAACTACAAAACTATTTACCATGGCTTACCAGTGATATCATGACAGCAGAATAAGGCATGATTATGTTAGCTATTTTGTTACAAGAGGTCAATTTTGAAACATATATTCATTCCCCTTATAAAATGATTGGCAAGTATAGAGCTCCCAGGAAGTGTATGTTGTGATATCTAGGCTTCCATATTTAGTCAGTTTGCTAAGAACATGGGGAAAGTGAGACTTGTTGACTAAATCCAAGAGACCAGAAGGCAGAAAAGTAAAGTAACATGACTTACCGTTTGCCAGTTCGATGTCTTCTCAGATATCCTGAGGGAGATGGGATGATACTGAGCTGGGCTCAGATGATGGAATTTGGGATCAATGGTCAAATAGTTTTATTGGGATCTTATCAATGATAAGCATTTCTATGTCTGGAAATTTCCAGACAAACCAAATGGATAGTGTTAAAATTTATGATTAAAAAACAAAAGACTGGGAACTTTTATCACATATTTCAGAAAATCAAAAGGTTGTTTTTACCCCTAAAGTTTATTGCTTTAATAATCTGACAAAGTTTGCATGTCATGGGAGCTACATACATTATGTTCTCTTTAAACTGATGCCATCTGTTGACATACCAGGAATTAATAACCAGGAGTTGATAAGAGAGGAATGACTCTCCACTCCTTATCTGGACCTATTACAGCCCAGGATCCTTTTACACCCAATTCTTGCTTTCCTCTTGGTCATTCTTAGCACAGGGCTATTCCAGAGCTGAGATACCAGATATGGCAGCCACTTGTTACTTGTGGTCTATTTACATCTAAATCTATTAAAATTAAATAAAATGGAAAATTCCATTCCTTAGTAGCACTGGCCGCATTTCAAATGTTCTTTAGCCACCCATATCTAGTGCTGCTGTACTGGATGCTGCAGATGTAGAACATGTCCATCAGTGCAGAAGACTCCATGGGACGGTGCTGTTCTGGAGTCTTGCCTCAGGGTGGCCGCTACACCTGCACACATGGTCCTCCTATCTTCAACAAGCCTACACAACTCAGTAAATGCCTCAGCTAGGCTGACTTAGCACTGCTCTGCAGCAGGGTCCTGAGAGAGCACTAAGACTTCATGCCAATGTTCTTCTTTGTGTCCTGAGATTCTCTCTATTTGTGTTACGTATTTTCATTGGTTAGTTATGTAATTAATCATGCCAATTTTTTGCTGATCCTCTGTTAACCATGGAACATACTGTTTTGCACAGCGTGGGAAAGATTCTTAAATCAAGTTAGAAACAATGACTTGTGAAGTTTTAGGGCTCTACGATTCTACTTATTCCAACAAAACAGAGTGTCGGTTGATGTTCTTCCCTCTAAGCTGTCAAGAAATATGAAATAAAATGAGGATGGAGGAAATATTTAGGTTGAAAGAAAACTTCGATGGAATTCAAAACCCCAAGACCACAAAGTGGAATTCATTAGCTTCCGATGAATTCTAACGTCAGGATTTCCCACAAGATGTAATGCGGAGATGCTACGTTTTTTTCTTCAAAGCTGGGTATTGCTTCTCAATGAGTACATGAGGATGCTGAGGAGAGATGTAGAGGATCACTGCTGAATATGTGACTTCACTCTCCACTAGGACTTTTGGACAATTACAGAGAAAGGGGAGTGAGTAGGAAAGAAGTCTGACAGCAACTGCCTTAGAACACTGACCAGGTAAGATTCACCTATCACCTTTGATCCACTTGTTGGGAACCCTGTTGTCTGGTATTTACAGCCCTAAGTGTGCACCTCTGAGACCCTCCACAAACCTACTTGTTATGGAAATCGTAGATCTCTTGGATGTTGCCAAAGATGATATGCTCTTTATTGAGGATCCCAGGGGGGATCTCCTCCACACCACTGGTCATTTCCCACAGGTAGGTCTGTAAGACAGTAACAGTTTCATCACTGGCAAGTCTGGCATGCCATATAAAATACAAACAAAATAAACAGGTGTTCAAACTTGTGGGGCAAGACTCAAACTGTAAATGCATGTAGAGGTGAAAAAGTGACATGTTAAGTAAACATAAGAGAAAGAAAAAATCTGAATATTTCATTACCCTGAACTTTAGCAAGGACACAAACTCCACAGTCTCTTGTTATTTATTAAATGTCTGTGGATTTGAGTATGTGTGTATGGCGGGGGGACAGGATGCAGATTTTCATGCCCAATTTAAATTCATTGACTGTGTCATGGTTTCATTTTGAATTGAAGTGCCTTATATACTTCTTTTTCCTGGGTCTAGCTCCAGTCTGAGAAAAGTTTAGACTTTCTTTTCAAAAGTACTTTAAACTCCCATGCAATTATTATTGACTTTAGGAGAAAGATTTCCTCTGGCTGGCTTTTTAATTCATTACTCTCTGGGAGAAGACCAAGAGCACCAAGTTCCAGTAGAGGACTTGATGCTGGCAAGGATGTCATTTTTCCAATACAGCTGTGAATGGATTACTGGAAGACTCACCTCTAAGCACTCATGTAAATCCCTTACATAAGCCTTCTCTGTCTGGAGTAGTTCAGCCATAATAAATCTAGAAGGAAACAAATGGCCTTTTAGTTAGAGATATAATGTCTCTCTTTGTTAAAACTTCCCTTCCCCACCCCAGCATGTATGACATTCTAAAATGTCCTATTTTTCTACTTCATCAACAGGTCTTTTCCTTTCTTCAAAATTCCTTCCCTCTCCTACAAGTATCTTCCTATGAGTCACTCTTAACTGTGACCACTGGCTCTACATCCCTTTAGCAGGTTTGTGCTCAGCTAGGTCCTTTTCCACCCCACTCCTGCTATTAATACTTGTGATTCTATGGTGATATTCATGTCAGTACAGGCATGCAGGACTGTTCATATTCTGTCTCACTAACTGGATAGCGTGAATCTCAGCTTTCCACATTTTTCTTACAGTTCCCAGAATGATGATTCCTGATAAGCAGAGTTTGTAGATGTATATCAAAACAGTTCTTAGTACCATAATATACCAGGTTTCAAAGCCAAGAAAGATGTCCAATATGCCAGATCAGGGGTTAGCAACTTTTCTATAAAGAGCCAGATATCTCTGTGGGCAATTCAGTCTCTGCCGCAACCACTCAACTTTGCTGTTGTCATGTGAAAGGAGCCCTAGACAATGTGTAAAAAAAAAAGTGTGGCTGTGTTCCAATAAAAGCATTTATGGACACTAAAATTTGAATTTTATCTAATTTTCACGTTACAGAATATTCTTCTTTCGATAATTCTCCCAGTTATTTAAAAATATAAAAGATAATTTTAGTTTATAGACTATATAAAATAGTTGGTGGGTCAAATTTTGTCTATATTTTCTGACCTCTGACCTAAATTATCCTTTTAGCTATTTCAATACTATTTCCAATGGGACTTGTTTACAGTATAAACAGATGTATAGAAAGCAAAACATGCAACCATAAGCACAGTATAAATTAATAGTAAGTGACTGCTTTTCACTCCCCAATAAAGAGAAGTGTGTGCTATGCAGCTTTAAAGAGAGGGTTCTCAGCCGGGTGCTGTGGCTCACGCCTATAATCCCAGCACTTTGGGAGGCCGAGGTGGGTGGATCATGAGGTCAAGAGATCGAGACCATCTGGTCAACATGGTGAAACCCCATCTCTACTAAAAATACAAAAATTAGCTGGGCATGGTGGCGCGTGCCTGTAGTCCCAGCTACTCGGGAGGCTGAGGCAGGAGAATTGCTTGAACCCAGGAGGCGGAGGTTGCGGTGAGCCGAGATGGCGCCATTGCACTCCAGCCTGGGTAACAAGAGTGAAACTCCGTCTCAAAAAAAAAAAAAGAGAGGGTTCTCTTCCTCCTTGGGCCTCTAAAGAACACAATGTGCTTGGGCACTTGTTAAACTTACGGCGCATGGCCTCATTGTGGCGTATTCTACTTTATTTTCACAAATTTTTATTAGAAATTGTGCTTGCCAGCTGGCATATGAAATGTAATTTAGCACGAACTATCTATTTATGCATATGTCTTACATTTTATATATCAGTTTTTCATGCAGTTCATAATGAGCATCCCTATTTCCAGGTGTCCCACCACATGAACATTTTGAGAAATACTGTCCCCAAAGTGTCCCCTTTTAGAAATTTCATAAGAAATATTAAATGAGCAGCATCTTCTCCTGGACTTTTATCTTTGTGGGACTTTTTCCTTAAAGCAATATACATTTTCTATCAGTTGCCTTTCTATTAAAATTGAAGCACCGATTCATCATTCTAAGTGAAGTAACTCAGGAACGGAAAACCAAACAGTGTATGTTCTCACTCCTAAGTGGGAGCTAAGCTATGAGGACACAAAGGCATAAGAATGATACAATGGACTTTGGGGACTCAAGGGAAGGGCAGGAGAGGGGTGAGGGATAAAAGACTACACACTGGGTGCCGTGTACACTGCTCACGTGATGGGTGCACCGAAATTTCAGAAATCACCACTGAAGAACTTATTCATGTAACCAAACACCACATGTTCCCTAAAAACATATTGAAATTTAAAAAAATAAAGTGCTAACTCAAAACTTCCCTTTTATAGAAGTTAATTAGCCACTATTTTTCTATTCTTTGAATTGAATTCTATTGGTAGAATAAAAAGTGTATAAGCTTTGGAGTCAGACAGATAGGAACTGAATTACAATCAGAGATAGGACTTGCCCCTCTAGTTCTCAGACTCCTTACTTATAAAACAGCTGATCACACAGAACTTAGGGCAAGTATGAAACAAGATCACATAAGCAACATGCCTAGTGCATGGTAGGTGCTCAGGAAACATTTCATGATTAAATGAGCTGTAGATTGCTATGAAACTAGGACAGAAGGGAGACCAGAAGGCACATAAACTGGCGGGCTTTGAAAATGTGTCTTTGATTGTATTGCCTTAGGTTTTCTGGAATTGTTCTTTTGCTTCCATTTGCTTCCTGCAGTTTTACCTGTCTTTCTGCACAATTTAGCGCTGCTATCCCCACCCCATTTGGCTTTATTTTTCATCCATCCTTTAATTTCTTCTGGCTATTTAGTGTCACAGAAGGAACTAAGGAGGAAGATCTGGCCAGGTGTAGTCCCCTCATTCCCCTCCCAGGTATGGGCTGAATTATGACCCCCCTGAAATTCATATGCCAAACTCCTAACCTCTAATACTTCAGATTTTAGTTTTATTTGGAAACAGTATCGCTGTAGTACCAGAGTTGCCCCTGAATCTAAAGACTGATGTTCTTATAAAAGGGGAATTTTTGATATAGGCATATATTCTGGGATTATGCCACATTAGCACAGAAACAGCCATGTACAAGCTAAGGAGAGAGGCCTAGAACAGATTGTCCCTTGTCTCCTCACTGCCCTCAGAAGGAATCAACCCTGCTGACACCTTGATTTTAGGCTTCTAGCCCCCAGAACTGTGAGACAACACATTTCTGCTCTTTAAACAACCCAATCTGAGGAACTTGGTTACAGCAGCCCTGACAAACGAATACACTCCCCATATGAACAAGCTCTGACTTCACAGAGCAACTTCAGTTTCTTGAGCTCCAAGGAACCTGTGGTCCTACTTCATCTTGATCAAAGAAACTACACAGAGCTTTTTAATCTTAGGACATACTATTTTTCTTTTCTAGTAATTCCCAAACAGAGTTTCAAAACATTCTTCATAAAGTCCTCCAGAAAACTCTGGATATGTGTGACTCTGTAACCACAATATAAAGGAAGCAGAGTGTCAAGAAATGGTTTATAAGATTGGCACGGTTCATTGTTTCCTCTTTCCAATGCCCTATAACTTTTGATTAGAGTGAAGTATTGGTAAACAACGCCCTACCAAACAACCAAAGAAGAAAAACGTGTTTTGCCTACCTGGAGTCAGGGCTTTTCTGGGAGTGGAGCTGAGATACTTAGAGAGCAGAGCAGGAATCTAATGATAAGTTGGTTCCAACTCACTAAATGAATTCTGGCCCCTATTCATTCTTATTCTGAGAAAACAGAGTTCGATTTATGAAAACCTCTGGCAACTTCAGATTCTTCCAAAATGTTTGAATCTCAGCATCCTCTCTCTACTCTCTTTTTCCCTATTTTCCTCTGCCTCATCTCCTCATGTGCTAGTGCTGCTGACCTAGGAGTAAACTTAGGTGGCAGCTTTATATTTAACATCTACAATTCACTCAGTGGACCAATTCCCAAGTATCTATTTCTTCCTTTTGAAATCTGAATACCTAGACCAAGTGAGGGGAGGGCCCGTCTGGCATTGGAATGCCTCCTAAAGCATGCCTTATTTTCTTCCGGCCCAATGGTATATCCCCTCAACTTCGAGTTAAGAGATTGATGTTACAGTCCTTACTTATTGTGTGATTTTAGATAATGTCTTGTCCTTTCCTCAAGGTTTCGATTTCTATATCCAATTATATTCTGTAGGATTTTCTTTTTCTTTCTCTTCTATTTTGAGATGGAGTCTTGCTCTGTCGCCTAGGCTGGAGTGCAGTGGCATAATTTTGGCTCACTGCAACCTCGCCTCCTGGATTCAAGGGATTCTCATGCCTCAGCCTCCCAAGTAGCTGGGATTACAGATGCGCATCACCACACCCAGCTAAGTTTCATATTTTTTTAGTACAGACAGGTTTTTGCCACGTTGGCCAGGCTGATCTTGAACTCCTGGCTTCAGGTGATCTGCCCACCTCAGCCTCCCAGTTACAAGCAAGAGCTACCATGCCTGACTATGAGCTTTTCTTGATCAATAATTATGTTATCTTTATTATTCTCCTAGTCCTTTGATTCATACAAGAGAGTATAAAAAACTTCTTATTTTTAAGGAGTCTACAATCTAGTTAAAGAGGTATGCTTATGAACTGGTTGAATAAGTAAAATGGGAGTTGGTACAGAAAAGAAGTAAAGGAGTTTATAAAACAGATGGGCCAATGACAGTGGGAGTTGTAGATAAAGAATTTATAGAGGTATATGATAGGAATTGGATTTTAAAGAATTAATAGGACTTACAGAGAGCAAAATAAAACCAAACAGAAAAAAAGGAAGGGAAAAGAACAAACAGAAAGTACAGCATTCTCAATTACATACAACTTATTCTTAGACCTGAGAGGAGTCAGTAAAAATGATCTGACTGAAAGGTGCAATCTCAACTAGAAAGTACTTTGAAGTAAGATTGACTTAGGTGAGGCCAAAAGATAACACCTTGAGGAGTTTTATCATTATTCTGGGGGTAGAAGCAAACATTTAAAATTTGAAACTGGTGAGAGACATAATGGAAAGAAATCAAAGAAGATTGAAGAGTCAAAGCTGGATTAAATTCTGGCTTCAATACTCACCATCTGTGTGGTTTGGGGAAAGTTACTTGGCTTTTCTAAGTCTTACTATATGTAAAATGGGAATAATCATAGCTACTTGAGAGAAGTGATAGGAAGATAGAAAGAGAAAATGTATGTGAAGGCACTTAATGTAATGTTTACGACATAACAAATGTAGGTGCTTGTGGTAAGAAGAGTATTTGGTATTAGCAATAATAAAATGTTAGTCCAGAAAGGTAAACCTGGCATCGCTGTGCAGGTGAACTGGGCAGGGACTAGCACCAGGAAAGCTATGGGAAGTTTTTGCAAGTAATTCAGATTTCTGATAAAAGCTAGAAGGTTAGTGACACTATCAATGGGAATTAGAAAATCAGAAGGGAGAGGCTGTATGCGGTGGCTCATGCCTATAATCCCAGCACTTTGGGAGGTTCAGGTGGGCAGATCACTTGAGATCAGGAGTCAGAGACCAGCCTGGCCAACATGGTGAAACCCCATCTCTACTAAAAATACAAAAATGAGCTAGGCATGGTGGTGCATGCCTGTAATCCCAGCTACTTGGGAGGCTGAGAGTGGAGAATCACTTGAACCTGGAAGGGGGAGGTTGCAGTGAGCTGAGATCATGCCACTGCACTCCATTCCTGGATGACACAGTGAAACTCTGTCTCAAAAAATTAAAAATTAAAAAATATATATAAAAAAAGAAAATAAGAAGGGAGAATTAAATGTAGAGGAAAAGAAAAAATATTTGGTTTGTTCCATGTCATTTCGGGATTGTGAAGTAAAATGTGATAATCCATGAGGAAGGTTTTGTCTAGGAAGTTACTGATATATGAAGAGAATTCAGGTGAAGGGCAGGCTGGAGAGACTTAAAAGCCTTCAGAGGGAACCCATATTCTCAATGCAAACATTATGTCTATCTATCCCAATCCCTGTAGGTGGTCACGAGGACATATTAAGCTATCCAAAGGGACAAGTGGTGGTGAAAGCCCAGCATAGTCACTGGAAGCCAGCTAGCCGGGCGGAAGCCAACACGTACTCTTTCTTCCGGGCTGACTTCCGCTTCTCTTCATTGACCTCATGGTTGGCATCCCGCAGCTTGACCTCCCGATCCGAAAGGCTTGCGGGGATGATGTCCAGCTCCAGGTCCTTATTATCCTGCACATGGAGGGATCACAGAGGTCACCTTGTGATGCTATGGGAAAGCAACTCACTCGAGGTGAGGGAGGTAGTAAAAGGGGGAAAAAAGATAATGGAGAAGGATAAAAACATGAGGTCTCTTGCAGACTCACACCCATAAGCACTCTTCTTCATGGGATCATTATTATTTTTTCAAATAAGAAAGAAAGAAAACGTTCAGATCAAATGTTTAGGGTAAATATCCACAGTAAGAAAAAACGATAAACACATTTGATAATTAGTTGTCTATTTCCCCAAGGCCTTTGGTCCTAATTAAATCTAAACACACACATCCATAAATTAGTCTAAGACTGATTCTTAACCATTTAAAATATATGCGAAATAAAAACACATACAGATAAAAAAACATCATTCATTTGGCAAAAGAAAATAATCAAACCAAATATATTTATTTAAACAAGTGATTTCCCTTGGAAACAGAAAGCTAAATAACAGAACAATGGCTGACCTTTCTCATCACTCATCCCTGCTAATTTTAACCACCATTTGGTATTTATATTTGATGGAACTTCCTAGATAAAAACTCACAGATTAAAACCTGGGGGAGATATTAACTCTCTTAACTTCAGGTGGTTTGGCCACTTCACTCTCCAGGCTGCTCTGCTTCAGATCATGAGCCTATTTGAAGATTTAAGAACTAGACGTCCTAGGATTAAATTGCCAGGCTGTATTTAGCTCTTAATTCACAGGTTACTAACCCCTATTATAAAGAATAGATTAAAAGTCCATCTGCCCTGGTTCATGGCAAATTGTACCTCTGTTCAGTTGAAATGTCAAATAAACCCTTGTAAAAATTGTACCCCTTATTCTTGAAAGAGTACTATTATATATACTGGGGACTCTAATCATTTGCTGATTAACATAATTGGGTAGAAGATGGCACTTATGAAGCCAAGATAAAGCTTTTATTTCTCAAAGTCAACAGTTAACACTGTACAGAAAAAAACTGTTCTGTATCCATAGGCCCCAACAATGGCCAGTCAATTTTGTAACATATAGAGTACTAATCACAGAAGGCTGGAGGTTAATGGATCAGCAAGATCCACCCGGCACTCCCCACTAGAAAAGCCACACAGGGCAAGTCCTCTAGGGGTCAACAGTACAGCTCAGAAGTACTGCTGTGGAAACATGCTTTTCTTCCATGGTGACAAGGGCAGTGGTGCTGAAGGAGGTGAAAAGGGAGGATGTCCCAAGGCCAGTGCCCCTGCCTACCTCTGTGTTGACTCCCAAGGCTTTCTCCAGGGAGTACCGGTACTTCCCCATCCTCAGGGAGAAATCTCTGTAGTGCTTGTCCACCGTTGTCACCCATTTCCTTATCTCCGTGGCATGAATGTGGCCTTTTTCCACAAAGCTATCGGCCAGCTGAATCAGAAGCTTCACCTTCTCCTTTGTTTGCTGCCCCAAAAGATGGCCGTAAGTTATTGGATTATATTTATTCTCCTGCCCCTTCACCCCAAATCCTCTTTTTCTGTTCAGAGCATCCATAGATACCTCATAGCTGGCTACCTGGGTTTGTATCCCAGCTTTGTCATGATTAACTGGGAGATTTTGAGCAAGTTATTTAAACCCTCTGTGCCTCCATTTCTTCATCTGCAAAAAGGGAATCATAATAGTACAGTCGTCCCCCAGTGTTGCTGGTGGGGTGGGGGACTGGTTCCAGGACCCCCCATGGATACCAAAATCCAGATACTCAAGTTCCTTATTTAACAAATGTTTGCTTATAACTTACCCACATCCTTAGGAACACTTCAAATCATCTCTAGATTACTTACAATACCTAATACAATGTAAATACTAAATAAATAGTTGTTATTCTATATGGTTTAGGGAATGACGACAAAAATGTCTGTATATGTTCAGTACAGACACAACTATCCATTTGAAGAAAACATTTTCAGTTCATGGTTGGTTGAATCCTGTAGATACAGAGGGCTGATCCTACTTCAAAGAGTTGGTGTATTAAATGAGTTGATAAATGTAGGATTCTTAGTACAGTAGAACATAGTAAGAACTCAGTAAGCCATAAACAGTAGCCATTATTATTGATGTAAGAATCTCTTACATTAGTATGCTTTGCATACTAATTTGCATAATGTGTTACTGTTTCTGAAAGCCTTTTGAGATTTGACACATCCTTAGGAAGTAGGTGGAGGGAAGTGATGCAGGTCTCTTTGAACCACAGATGAAAAAAATCTGAGGCTTAGAGAGGCTTAGGGTTGGTCCAACTTCATGCTACCAGTAAGCAACAGAGCCTATTTGTCTCTGCCCTTTAGTTCCTACTTCCCTCCCTCCACTGTATCAGTTCTAAACATCATGTCAGTTGGCACATGCCAGGATCTAAATAAATATAATGAGCAGATTTAAGAGTTAACTCTGTCCCTGTCACTACCAGAATCTTGTCTTTAGTTTCCATTTGAGAGCAGGAGAAAGAAGTTAATGAAGCCACCATCTGTCACAGGACTAGGTAAAGTAGAACTCTGATGTTTACCGGGTTAATTTCATTTTTAGCAAGACTTTGTTCAATACCTAGTTGGTCAATAGTACTGTGTAGAGAGCTATAGGGCTGGGCTTGGGGGTTAAACAAAAGGAAAAAAATGTTCATTTCATACAGAGTACTTAAACAACTCAGGGCATTATATAATTGAATGTCAAAATGGGAGAATGTAGAGTTAACACTATAGGAATTTTAAAAGGAGGAAATGAAGGTGGACAGGCATGGGTAGGGAAGGTCTCACGAAGAGGCAGTACTTAAGCTGGGTAAGACATGGGAATGAGAGAGACAACCAACAACAGACTGCTGCTCATTTTTTTTTTTTAATCTCAAGTTTGGATTTTCAAACTCTAAAATTGCTCAGGGAAAGGAAAGAATATTAAAATACCATTCTAAGAAGAAAAATTATCTTTTGGACTGGAGGCAAGTAGGTCCAAGGTTTAAACCAGGCTAAAATCTAGCTAACAGGGAAACTGAGGCAGGACATCAGTGGAGCAATAGGGGAAAAAACAAAAGAGCCCTCCTTTCTTTATTCTATTATCCTCACCCTACCTGCTCCTTCCAGGCTCATCTACAGCTCCTCCCATGAGAGACCAACGCTCCCAAGAAATGCCAGAAAAAGAGGGTTTCAGAGAGGTGAATGAAGAGTGCTCTGCCTGCTGCATGCATGGCCAGGGATCAGGGATCCAGCTCTCCAGGAGCTCACTCAGCATATAGAAGCCTCTTCTATCTCGGGACAGTAGGCTGGTACCTGACATTAGGAGATAAAGGCCAAGACAGCTTTGGTGTGAAGGAAAGGAGGTGGGTGTGAGGATAGCAGAAACATCTCCTCAGCCATGTAAAGGTAGAGTAATAACAGGGAATTGGTTAAGAGAGAATTAGCAGATTATATTCAAAATAGAATCTACTTAATTCTATCTAAACTTTAATTACTCAACCCCTCTTTTTAATCATCTTATTCATGTGTGTATCTCCAGTGTCTAGGCATCCTGAGAACTTTCATCTTACTGCATGTAGGGTGTTTTTTATTTTCATTTTTCCTGAAAACAGTTTTCTTTGGCTTTATATTTACTTAAAACAAACATCAATTTTTTTTTTGAGACGGAGTTTCGCTGTTGTTACCCAGGCTGGAGTGCAATGGTGCAATCTCGGCTCACTGCAACCTCTGCCTCCTGGGTTCAAGCAATTCTCCTGCCTCAGCCTCCCAAGTAGCTGGGACTACAGGCGCGCACCACCATGCCCAGCTAATTTTTGTATTTTTAGTAGAGACAGGGTTTCACCTTGTTGACCAGGATGGTCTCGATCTCTTGATCTCGTGATCCACCCACCTCAGCCTCCAAAAGTTCTGGGATTACAGTCGTGAGCCACCGCGCCTGACCCACAAACACCAATTTTTATGAAAAGTCTTGGAAATACATATTCTCTGCTCTTGGTAAAGTGACTCCACCTATGAGAAAGGGTTTTACAGCCAGTTGGTGGCAGCAGCCATACTAGGGCAGTTCTATCAGAGAAAATTATATCCTAAAGCATCAAAATTGTGATTGAGAGTCAACAAAGCAAATGGTTTGTGACCAAGAGTATTCTAGGTATGTGTAGGGCCTAGAGAGGCAAAGAGACAGTAAAATGAGCAGTGTAGACAGGACTTTCCCCATGTGGCCCCACTTACCTTTGTAGCAGCCCTGTCTCCACTTCTCTCCATTCCCTACACTGCAGCCGTGTTCAATGTCACATGCCCTTCCTGCTGTGATGAGTGGTTCCTGCTCATCCCCACTCTTGATCCAATGCCCTTTTTCCTCTCCTCTCCTCCTCACAAGCTAAGTGGGTGAGGCCCTTCCCAGTGGTCCCACAGTATCACATACATGCCTCTATTTTAGCATATAACACCTTATTTATGTCTCCTTCATTAGACCGTGAACCCTTAGGTATTACATCTTATTCTTTTGTGTATCTCCAGTGTCTAGAAAATAGTAAGCATACCATCAATGTTGTCTGAATAAACGAATGAGTAAATCTTGTGTTTGGAGGCGAGTAAAGCTAGATCAGCAAGAGTTGAAGGTTTTTTCTTTTTTTTTGGGAAGAAGTAGATGATAAATTTGGCCCATGCATTGGATAAGCCCACTGAGACACCAGCCATGGCCACGGTCCCCACTGGGGGTATTCTAAAATGTTTTCTTATACATAGATGATTGTGGTAGCAGCACATGCCCTGCTAAATGCCTGGTCACAGCTTTTGAGATCAGAGGTAAAAACTTGTCTTGTAAGGGCAGCCCATCAAGATGTAGCCAGTAACTTCTATCTAAGGTGTGCTGGCCTAAAAGCTATGTCTAAATAGGGGGTAAGAAATACTCTGGGTTAATTGAGGTTGTTTCCCTGAGGATTTAAACTGCACAGACAGGGATCTAGGTGATTGGTCGTGAGTAGAAGTGAAATCACAGAAAGCAGAGGGGAAGAAGAAAAAGGAAGCTGAGGGATAGAAATGGTAAACATTACACAGATTCTGGTCCTCTGCTCTCATACAATGACCAGATGATGTGACTGCTTGAGCTGCTCTTGGTCTCAGGTGACATTCCAGTTTTCATGTCCAGAGGTGACACTATGCCACATTTCTTGTTCTTCACATGGGGCTGAGTCACTGAGCTTTTTCTGGGTTTTGGGGAGGTTCAGCCATGTCGCTTCTCTCTTCTTTATTTCCACACGTGGCCATACAATATCTTTTCCCTTTCAACCTAAACCCATTTGAAACTCAAATCTTTCCTCCGAAGACAGTAACTTATATAAACTAGTATAATGCGGATCAGACTGCAGCAGTTCTTGAATGATGGGTTCAGAAATATGGACATGATCTTGTGGCCAGAAGGGAAACTTTGGGTACCATAATTCATCTGGGCCTGGAAATCTAGACCTCCCTTAATTTATGTTTTGCCTTTCCATTTTGAATTCTAGTTATCTGCTGGAAAAGACAGAGGTTCAAAAGAGGGATTTGGTAATTCTATTTTTTCTATTTATCCTTCTCTCTTTCCCTCCCACCCCTCTCTTTTCCTCCTTTCCTTTCTTTTTTCCTTTGGTTATTATCTTCCTCTAATCAGTGAGCCTCACTCTGAATAAACTTTTTTAAAGCCCTTTTGACTTCAGCACATTTTATAAGTCTTTTAGATTTTGTCTTCTTGATAGTAATCTTATAATGTCATTATAATCTTCCATGTTTGCCTTTTATTATTGATACTCCTTATAATGAGATCATCATAATATTGATATTGATATTCCTTATCAATGTATTTTTTTGTGACATGAATTTACTGAGCTCCTCATGCAGGTGAACAGGTTTCTTGAAACACATATTCTGATTCATTCGGCAGAGGACTGTTTGTTATTATACATAAAAGCACCAAAATTTTCCATCACATACAAGTTACATTCCTCTTAAGAGTCTCAGAAAGGCCAGGCATGGTGGCTCCGCCTGTAATCCCAGTACTTTGGGAAGCCGAGGCAGGTGAATTGCCTGAGGTCAGGAGTTCAAGACCAGCCTGGCCAACATGGTGAAACCCTGTCTCTACTAAAAATATAAAAATTAGCCAGGTGTGGTGGTGAGCACCTGTAATACCAGCCACTTGGGATGCTGAGACAGAGAATCACTTAAACCTGGGAGGCGGAGGTTGCAGTGAGCTGAGATCACACCACTGCACTCCAGCCTGGGTGATAAGAGTGAACCTCTGTCTCAAAAAAAACAAAAAGAGTCTCAGAAACAGAATCATGCCTGTCTTTTACCTGAACTGTTTAGATTCTATCTCTCTCCGTCTAAAGTACCATCTGACATCCCCAGTGTTCCTTTTCCTTACTATCTGAATCACAGGAAAACAAAATTTAGTTAGCTAAGGCTCCAGTCGTTTTCATTACTGCTTAATTTTTTTTTTTGTCAAGATGAATTAAGTCCAGTTTATCTCATGGCTTCTTTCATTTTCAGAGATGAAGTCAAAAGTATTTTCTTAACATTATTAGTTATTGGCAAATGCAAATCCAAACCACAATGAATACCATTCCATACCCTCTAGGATGGCTATATAAAAAGACACAATAACAAGTGTTGGTGAGGATATGGAGAAACTGGAACCCTTACAAATTGCTGATGAGAGTATAAAGTGGTATAGCTACTTTGGAAAACAGTTCAGCAGTTCCTCAAAAAGTTAAACATATAACCCAGCCGTTCCACTCCCAGGTATGCACATAGGGGAAATAAAACATATGTTCATGCCAAAATTTGAATATAAAGGTCTATAGCAGCATTATTTATAATAGCCAAAAGCTGGAAACAACCCAAATGTCTGTCAACTGATGACTGGTAAACAAAAAGAAGTATATCAATCAAATGACATGCTATTCAGCAATGAATAGGAAAAAAGGATTAATACATGCTATAAGCATGGATGAATCCTGAAAGCATTAGGCTAGGGGAAGTAAGCCAGTCACAAAAGACCTCACATTGGATGATTCCATTTCTATGAAATGCCCAAACAGGCAAGTCCATAGAGACTGAAAGCAGGTGAGCAGTTGCCAGGGATTGAAGGGAGTAGGGAATGGAGAATGACTGCTAATGGGCGAGGAGTTTCTTTCTAGGGTAATGAAAATGTTCTGGAACTAAACAGTGGCAATGTTTGCACAACCTTGTGAATATAGTAAAAACCATGGAATTTGAAAAAAAAAATAATAATCTAAAAACGTTTTAATTTTAGAAGAAATGGAATTCTTCCAAATGTCATGATGACTAAGCTTTTCAATCCCCGTGTGCCTTGACCCCGATACATTTTTAAACCCATAATAGGAAAATACCATTTCTATTCTTTTAATGGACTGTCTATAGGCATACCACAACATGAATATTATGTTTTCCTTTTTTCTTCATCCAAACTCTTTTTATTTCATTTTTATTCTATTTGTAAACTTTTATATAGAAAGTATCTTTTTATATACAATGTTTCTTCTACTTGATCTGTTCCTTTGGAGCAGAGTATCAAATTTAATGAACTCCATTGCCCTATTCAACCATAAGGGCCACCATATGTATTCTCTCGTGGTTAAAGGTCAATTTGGTTTCCATTTCAAATTCATTTCATTGGTTATAAAGATTATAATCAAAGACAGCTGATTAGAAGAGGTTTACCTTTGGAAAGTGGGGCTAGGGTGGGACAGGAGGCTGCAGCCTCTAATCAGAAGCTCCTCGGCTGGGTTTGTTATCCTATAGATAGTCTGATATGAATAACCCTGAGATTTGGGACATAATAGCTATGTCGAGAGGGACAGAGAACATAGAAAGCCAAAGTAGAAGATTAACATAAAATCTAAGTGAGGGGGAGTGAACCTACTCAAACTTCCTTTTTCCCTATATTCCTGAATGGTTGTAGCCTCCCCTTGAATGTGTAAGATGCAGTCAGGTAACCTAGGGAACTCAAGATGAATAGTGTGGTTCTTGTCTTTCAGTATCCTGTTGGCTTATACAGGAGATAACATTGCATAGATTACTGGAGGAGAGATGGTCTGTGCCAGGTGAAGGGTTATATGGACAAGGGCTGCAGTGCAGGGACGAGCCAGGACATATCCTGGTATGTGGGCAGGATCATAGAGGAGGAGGCTCTAGACTGGAAACGGGGGTTCCTCTTAAAAAGACAAACTGGAGGGAAGGATAGTGTATTCCAGGCAGAGAAATGTATGAAAAAGGCACATAGACCAAAAAGTATATGATATATCTCTCAGAGGGCAAGAGAATACATCCATTCAGCTGGAGCATAAATCCTGAATAAAATAATAATTGAAGATAAAGCTAGGGAGGTAGGGTAGCACAGCTGTAGAATTGTGGAGCATTATCCTAAAGGAATTGGAAAATCATTAAAGTTCTTGATCTGGGTGGTTATATAACCAAAGTACCATTTTAAAGATGAACAGCAATGAAGGGCAGGAGGGATAGGAAGGAAGGAAATGCCAAAGGCATGCAATCCAATTAGGAACCTACTACAGCTTAGGATAGTAGCTATGTGAATGTGAAAGAGGAGAAACCTATGAAGAAGGTTACAAAGGAAGGATGAATAAAATTGACTGAATAATTCTCCACATTACCACTTTGATTACGGAAAGATTTTGATCCTATGAAATTCTGGGTATCTGCTGTGATCCATCCTATGCTGACAGAAACACCAATGGATCTGATACTATTCAGCCTGTTAATGGCTCATTATCGACCCTATTTGAAGAGGGGTGGATAGAGCCAAACTTGTTAATTCACAAGCCATTTTAATTTGGATTTGAATAGGGTTCTGTGCATCTGCCACTTTCTTTGTGCTGTTTGCTTTTTGCTGGTATTGAAATGAGTCTCTTATCTGAGCTAATAGCTTTTCACATTAGGGAAAAATGCCCAAAGCTCACAAGGATGCAAGGAAAGCCTCCCCAGTATTGAGAGTCCATAGGATAGGATTCATAGAGTGGATAATCCCTTCTGAAATATCAGTTCAGGAATGAGGCTAAGGGCCTAATTTTGTCACACCAAACTAGAGAAACATTCCTTATAGTGTCCGAGGGATCTCTTGGTAGGATATGTTTCCCACCTTGACCTCAATGAGAGCAATCCTCAACCTGGGGTTGAGTGTCTGCTATGTGTAGAAGAGATATAGAGTGTCTGCCAAAGAAGAGATGCCAAAAAAGGCTCCTATGTGGCAAGGAGCCCTGTGTGGGAGATGAGGACATGGCAGAGGAATTTGAGACAGATCAGATTTTCATTCAAATCCAAGTATCCTCAGATCAAATCCTGGCTGTGAAAACATGAAAACCAGGTTTCCTTCTATTACAGCCTTCCCCACAATCTTGGTAAGAATTGGTATGTACATCCAGCTCATGAGCAGGTCCCTGGAGAGCAAAACATGTAAGGATGTACATACTAGCTCATGAGGAGGTGTGAGGCCAGATGGAAATAGCTCAGAAAATAAGAAATTCACCTGTTTGGGGTACCCATCGTTACTGGCCCTTCCAATAAGGTGGACTTCCCAAGCCACTCAAATTGCAAGAATATGTGGATATGTGCAGTGTTCACATGCACATGCAACATTTTTATGTAAATACATCCTTTTCCCTGATTTGGTCTGAAAGAATATGGCAAATTCCAGAACCTGGAGGATGAAGATGAATATTTGGAAGCACAGTGTACAGCAGTTGACTTTCTGCATACAGCTGCTCTACCCAGCAGTGGCATTTCTTTGGGTATTCAGGTTTCTAAGCAGACAATCCTTTAGGACATTTACATGCTTCCTCCATCCCCACTGTGACTGAGCATTTTTGCTTACAGAAGCTGTCTTTGCTTCCAAAATGTGAAACTGGCCAGAATGAAGAGTTCTGGGTGGATTTGGGAAAAGGTTTGGGATGTTTCCTACCTTGGCAGGCACCCTGAATTCCCCATATTCTTTCAGCAGTTCCTGAGTCTCCTCTGTGGTCTCTCCAGCGGAGGTATGTGTTGAGAGGTAAAATTCACCTGTTTCTTGGATCCAGTCCAGTGCCTATGGGAGGAAACAACCCATCCAGTTCCCGGAAAGGCAGCTGTCAGTAGGAAAACATGCCATACTATAATGAAGGTTATTGTTGGGACAACTTAATGGACCCAGGAAACACTGACACAATTTGATTGGTATGTAATATGGGAGGTTTTTTTTTTTATGATTGAACCCTCCCCTGATTTGGAACATCCCACAAAGAGAGGGTCTCCTCCAGTAGACTGGGGACTCTTCTAGGCTAGGCCTTATATCATCCACGAATTAGGGGCATAGTGGGTGATCTAGCATTTCTTCACATCTCCTGGTACCAAACTCAAAACAGAAAGCTTGGTAAATGCTGAATTGCTGACAAGTGACAACCTACTTTCTTTTCCTCTTTACTTTCTCCCTCCTATCCCCAATATGCCTGCTGCTGTGGCCCTTTTCTGGACTAAGCCTTGGTGATGGGCCTCTGTATGCTCTAAAGAACTGAGGTAGAGCCAGGGAAAGCTTTGGACCACCTGCTTAGCGCTGCGCTCGAACACCACGTATTGCTGGCACTGGTCTAACCGACGCTTCTTCAAGGTCCAGAAATGCAGCACACGATTCTCCCTCTGCAGGAGCTCACTCAGGATGGCTGTGGGCAGAGGAGATGCATCATGGTCACAAGAGGCACTGAGCAAATCCAAACAACCTCTTCAGCCCCATGGCCCAGGTGCCAGGTGACCATGACTGTACTTCAAGCCTCCTCCCCATGAGACTAATACAGCATCAGAAGAAAGGAAGCAAAAGCTGGATATAGAAATGATGTCTTAGAACGGAGCAAGATCGAATAGACTAGGGGGAGAGCCAAGTGATGAGGGTTCCTTCAAGTAAGGTGGGAAGAATATGACAGCAGTGACTTACAAATGACCCCGATTCTCTTGATAGCAAAATCAGTCCTCAGTTCTAAGAAATCTGAAGAAGGGTCAGTTCCTAAAATAGCAATTTATTCAACTGGCCCCCAGAGTACAATGAGCATGGGTGGACCTTGACAGAAATCTTAGTCATTCTTAAGGACTCACTGGAAGAGAGGCAGAAGACTTACAGTGGAATGAGGGCCAGTGTCATTGGCTTGACAACCCACATCATGAACCATGTTCTTGGACCTGCCCAAGAGGTTGTGCACACAGCACTTTTAACAGCACAGCCTCAATTTAAACACTTCTAAATAGTGGGCATAGGGAAGCTGTGTTGGAATTATATCTTCATGTTTTTTCTGGGCCCGTGTTGTTTTGGATCTGATCAGAAGAAAAGCTAAAAGTGATGTTAAATGAGACAGTATATGCAAGGCATACAGCACTGCAAGTGGGCCAGGGTTAGGTATTCAGCCCATGCTATTTCCCTCTCTACATTTTCTTTTGTTTCAAGAGTAGCTGCGTACATGGGTAGATGTCTTAAGTGTTTTAAATAGTATGTTCTATGCTGGAAGCAATCAAATTAATTTTATTATATCTTCCTCCTGCTTCCTGCTAGCCATATTAGATGGTAACAAAATAAACAATAATAAGCATATGAATAATATTTATCACAAACTCAGTATGTGGAAGACACTCATTTTTATAATACCCCACAATGCATGCACCATTATTATCCCCATTATACAGATGAGAAAACTGAGATTTAGAGAAAGCTTTTGAGAAAGCTCAGGGAAGGTAACTAGCTCAGGGTCGTTCAGATAGGAAAGGGAAGAGTTCAGATTCAGGTCAGACCTGACTTCAGAGCCTGAGTTATTAGTCACCTTGGTCTCCCACATTACTGGGATTATAAAGTTTCTGTGCTTTATGAAGATGGAGCTTTTGTTGATTTTATATACTTTTCATATCCCTTCATCCCTACCTCCCTGGCCAAGTTTGCCTTTCTGAGGATAGAATCTGTTTTTCGTCTTTTAGGCTGAATGCCCTTTTTTTTTTTAAGAGACAGGATCTGGCTCTGTCACCCAAGATGGAGTGCAGTGGTGCAGTCATAGCTCCCTGCAGCCTCAACCTCCCGGGCTCAAGTAATCCTTCCACCTCAGCCACCTAACTAGCTGAGACTATTGGCGCATGCCACCGCACCCGGCCAATTTGTATACATTTTTCTGTAGAGATGGGGGTTGCACTATGTTGCCCAGGCTGGTCTCAAACTCCTGAGCTCAAGTGATCCTCTTGTCTTGGTCTCTCAAAGTGCTAGGACTACAGGTGTGAGCCACTGTGCCTAGTCTTTTGTGGGTCCAATTATTCACCTTTTCCTGTATCTATGCCTTTATCATGTCACTTTTTCATTCCTTCCCAAAGAGGCAAGTACGGTTTCTCACTCCCCAGTTGATCTCTGGCTTGGCCACATAACTTGCTTTGGCAAATGAGCTGTTAACAGATAAAACACAAGCAGGGCCCTGAAACATACTTGTAGACTTGACTTTGTACCTTGCATCACCACTATAGGAACTCCTCCTGGAACTGCTGCCCCTTCCACCCAGGTCCCAAAATAAATACATGTGGAGCAAACAAGACCTTACCTGGAGTGAAGGAGCCAAGCTAGCTAGACTTACAGCCTGAAGCACAACTGCACTGCTGAGCCCAGCTAAGATGCTGCTCCCCGGCCAATGCGCAGCCACTTGAACAATATATGCTTACAGCTGGATATCATTGAATTTTGGGGTTGTTATGTAGCTATATATAACAACCAGCAGTATAAAGAAGCCAAAAATATGTGGCACTGGCTTTGAGTCTAAGTAGTAAGTGAAAAGGGAACTGATATAAAGGTAGTATAGGTCCCTGCTCAGGTGGAAGCTTCAACTGGGCAAGGAAGGAGTGGAAACCCATTTTCTCTAGTCTTTATATTCCCTTGCCAGAGGTTTGCTCCCTGAAGCTCCCTCTGTGGTGTGGCTAAGGGAATCAACCTAGATCAGGCAGAAATCCTCATTTCAGGATTCTTTTTCCTCTCTCTTCTTGAAAGCTTTCACATGGGCAACAACCTCGTCTTGCCTCCAAGAAGATGTAGGCATTTCCCACTGTCTCTGGGTGCCTGTTATTCTTCAGCCTGCAGAGGTGTAGGTGGGATATGTGGTCTCTCAGTAGGCAGCTGGCCTCACCCAAGCTCCTGTCTGGATTTGGAAGCCAGAACATATGCTTTCAAATGTGCTAGAAGGAGAAGTGACATAATACCAGCTCCCCACAGGTCTCCGACCACAAATAGAATATCACATTTGGAAGAGGAACTCTGATCCTTCCTCTCTGTAGGGAACTTTGATTCTAGATTTAATTCTTTCCAATGGCCTCTGTTCTCTCCAACTCTTGAGCTACCTGAGCAAAGAGGGAAGAGCTTCTTAAGCAGACCACATACCCTACTCTGTCCATGGTGTCTCCAAGCCCATACCACTCCTCACTCCAAGTCGGCTTGGGCTCCCTCTCTAGCCTCACGCTCCAGAGTTTTATTTCTCTGCCTTGGCAAGATGACATTTGCTAAACTCTTTACCCACTCAAAGACTAATTTCTGCATGGTCAGAATAATTTCACAGATAATGATTTAAGTTTCACGTGGTCAGATAACAAGCAATTGTTTAAAGTCACGTATTTATTATCAGAGACTTTCTAGAATTCAGAGAGATTATTAAAGATTATGTAGAACAGCACTTATCTAAATTTTATGAACACACAAATCACCTGGTTGGTAAAATTGGGCAGTTCTTACCAAAATGCAGCATCTTTGTTCTTTTTTGTCGTTGTTGTTCTTTTTTTTTTTTTTTTTTTTTTTTTTGAGACAGGGTCTCATATTGCCCAGGCTGGAGTATACTGGTGCAAACACAGCTCACTGCAGCCTCCAACTCCTGGGCTCAAATGATCCTTCCATCTCAGCCTCCAGAGTAACTACAGCTATGGGCATGCCACCATACTAGGCTATTTTTTAAATTTTTTGTAGAGACGGGGTCTCACTATGATACCCAGGCTGGTCTTGAACTCCTGACCTCAAGCAATCCTCCCATCTCAACCTCCCAAAATGCCAAAATTCAGTTCTGACTTAGTAGGTTTGGGTGTGGCCTGAGAGTCTATGTTTCTTATACTCTCTCAGAGATGTCAATGTGGCTGGTCTGAGAACTACAATTGGAGTAGCAAGAGTTAGATGCTCCCCTCATTTTAAATAAGAAATTAAGTTTTAAAAGGTTTAATCAATCTGTGACAAATCCGGGGTTAGCATTTGGTTTTAGGATTCTCAGTCTACATTCTGTTCCTAGGCTATAAGATACCCTAGTCTTGTGCTGTTCAATTTATTAACCATGAGCTACATTCAGTAATTTACATTAAATTAGTTAATATTAAATGAAAGTTAAAATTTGGTTCCTCAGTTGCACTAGCCACATTTCAAGTGCTCTATAGGTGCTGTTTTGTATAGCGTAGATAAAGGCAATTTCCATTATTTCAGAAAATTCCACTAGGCAGTGCTGCCCAGACTCTAAGACAAAGGAAAATGCTTGGGGAAATTTTATCCTTGTTTTTGCATTCCAGATCTTGTTGCATGTTTAAAAATTAACCATGAATCACTACTGCCCACACCATCCCACATCACACGCTTTCTTCTCCAAGGAGAAGCATCAGGAAGTTTGAGATTGTGTGAAAACTGGGTACATGGAAGATTTCAGGGAGGGGCTGTTGCTGCAGTGACTGGCGGCTGGGCAGGTCTCTCACTGACCTTTCACTTGTTGCTCGGGTCCCCGAGTGTGGCTGGCGACACTGGGCATGCTGACGTTGTTCCTGTGGATGTACTTGAGAAACACCTCAGCGTTCCGCCGAGCCAGGGTACAGGCCTGAGAAAGACAAAGCTGTAAGGCCCCTGTCCCAGCAGGTGGCAGATGTATGGAATCCAAGACACTAGAGAAGGCATACTCTCCTTTGACATTTTCTTTTCCTTTTTTTTTTTTTTTTTTTTGTTTTGTTTTTTTGAAACAGAGTCTCATTCTTTTGCCCAGGCTGCAGTGCAGTAGCCTGATCATAGCTCACTGTAGCCTTGACCTCCCAGGGTTAAGGAGTTCTCCTTTCTCAGCCTCCTGAGTAACTGGGACTACAGGCACCCACCATCACACCTGGCTAACTCTGTACATTTTTTGTAAAGTCCGGGTCTCACGATGTTGCCCAGGCTGATTTTGAACTACTGGGCTCAAGCAATCTGCCCACCTTGGCCTCCCAAAGTGCTAGGATTATGGGTGTGAATCATGGCACCCAGCCTCTCCTTCTACTTTTTGGGAGGCTCAAGAACTCTGAAGGAATCTGGAAGGAGCAGAGCTCTGAAAGTCACCACTGCTTCATGGAGACTATAATTCCAATTTATGGAGCTAACCCTTCTAAGCTTTCCTTTTGTCAAGTGAAGAATTACTCCTTGCATCTCTGCCTGTTCCATCTCAGATAAAAGAAATCAGCCATCCCTTGTCTCGATGTTGACCAAGCATTACTAACACTTACTCTTACCCTACTTTTCCTCAGACACCAGAATGCCTCTTACACGACCACTGGTGTAAGTCAGGAAACATAAACCTACTTTAAAATCAGTGTGACTTAGACTTGAGCAAGTAAATTTGTTAAACATATCTATTAACCCTACATTCCAAAACTAAACAGAAAGCACCAACATTTTTCAAACTTATTTGCCCATCAAGTCCCCCTCATCTAAATATCACTAATAAGCATCCTATTGTTGAGAAATGCCAGTCTGCCTAAAGAATTAACAGCTGTTATATCAGCTACTCCATTTACGATTCATATTGGCTGTGGGGGACAGAGAGAGGGCTGGTCACATTCTCCTTGTTGTACTGATGGACAAGACTGAAGCCCAGAAAGGGCAGAAGTCAGAAAGCAACTCAGATGTAGGATCTAGGATGATTGACAGTATCTCTTGTTCCTCTCAAGCCTAGTATTTTCTGGATTTCTCTACAAAGCAGCATTTTGTTTTCTGTTTGTAAAGTAATAAATACTAGCATACTAATTTTTAATCTATAGCTTTCAGGACTAAATTATCTCTAGATAAAACTGTGAAATTTTATTTTATATTTTTCTTCTAGATACCCTGAAGTGTTAAATTTTAGAACCTTATATTTTCCCTCTGATCCTACAAATTATATAATTAAAAATTATTATACAATTAATAGAAACATAATTATAAAATTTTACAATTTTCTGGTTATATTAAAAAACCAGCAACAAAGGCATCTGGGGATATCTGGTACACAGACGCCTGCTAGTGAGTCCATGACCACAGAGGCTCCTGGATACAACAGCTTAATGGTGGTCTTAGCCTAAGGGGTTTCAAATAGATCAACTCATGAATACAAATAGCTCATATTCTATCTGTTGGTTGGGCATATAATTCCCACAGTGATAGGGAGCTTCTCACTATGGTTTTAGGGACATATGGAAAACATCGGACCAGAGGATTTTCTTATTCTTTCTTCAAAAGAAACATTTTCTTTTAATTTTATGAAGAAATACTTTTTACTTCTATTTGAGACTTTTTTTTTTTTTTTTGAGACGGAGTTTCACTCTTGTTACCCAGGCTGGAGTGCAATGATGCGATCTTGGCTCACCGCAACCTCCGCCTCCTGGGTTCAGGCAATTCTCCTGCCTCAGCCTCCTGAGTAGCTGGGATTACAGGCACGCACCACCATGCCCAGCTAATTTTTTGTATTATTAGTAGAGATAGGGTTTCACCATGTTGACCAGGATGGTCTTGATCTCTTGACCTCGTGATCCACCCACCTCGGCCTCCCAAAGTGCTGGGATTACAGGCATGAGCCACCGCGCCCGGCTATTTGAGACTTTTATATGCTCTACTTAAATTGTTTCATTTTAAACTTTGCTTTTTAATAGAAAAAAACTTTCAAAAATCATCATAAGCCCTGCACATAAGAATTTCTATTTAGTCTTATTAATAAGAGCTGATTACTAAAGGTTCTGACCAGTACAGGTGCAGATACTGGATAGTTGGTAGGAGGGCAGGGAGAGGCCAGCTTAAAAAAATAATAAAAATTAAGCTCAAAGTCATGGTCAAGTAGAGAAAATCCCTAATAAAAGAAAGGCAGTTAATTACAGAATGGGATAAAATCAGTGGCAACATGTCAGGGTATAAAAATGATCTCTTCTATTCCCAGAAACCTGAAAGGAAGCAGAACATGAAAGCAAGAAATCTGAGAGCAAATGGAGCCTTTCAATGAGCTTGAACACAGAAGAGAGGAGGCAATCAGAGGAGAAGATCAAAGGCTGGGGCTCACAAGGACTTCCCACACCAGCTGACAGTCTGTGCAGAGCAGGCCTGTGCTTCCTCCCTCGGAAGGCAGGGCTCTAGAAGAATACCCAGAATAAGGCATTTTTCTCTTAATACAGAAGAATGAATAGTGTTATGTGTATTGGTAATTGCTAGATTGATAAATAAATAGGGCAGCCAAATTCATTTCTTTAATTCTTACCCTAAATTTTGTATCTTCCATTTATAAAATATTTTAATCGTGTTTTATATTTAAGCTTATATCTTTTCAATATTACTATAAAAATAATTTAATTAGCAAAACACAACTGAATGAAGCATGCCTTTTTCTCAGTTAACAATATCCATGGGATATTGGGATATCTAGATTGCAGCAGATATCCCAATTATTGCCTAACTACACAAAAAGTGATTGCCTAACTATACAAAAAGTGCTAAGAGAGAAATAAATGTTGGAAGAATAACCTTTCACCCTTTCACATTAAACAGGCAACATCTTCACTATACTCCCTTCCCCCTTTAGAGAAGAGTCAGAAAAAAAGGGGGGGATAGGAAGCATGTTTGAAGCTCTGTGTGTTTGTGTGTGTGTGTGTTTGAGTGTGTGAGTGAGAGAGAGAGAGAGAAAGGATGGAAGAAGGCCAAGGCCAGGAGTCTGAGCTCTTGCATGACAATGTGCTCTGACCTTAAGAAAAGCCTCCTTTTGTTCCAAATGTTTGCTGATGAGTGGAATGACATGGTCGATCTCTGCTGCTGGCCCCAGCTTATCTCGTCCACCACACCAGTCCTCATCTCTTCGGTATTCTTGCTCTAAGCTCTCCAGGACACTACACACCTAGTGGATCATGGAAGAAAAGACTCAGTAAATTAATTAGGCAGTATTCTCTGAGGACCTTCATCCTATAGAACCCTACACATGTGACATTTTTCATTGAAGTTTAGTGCCTCTGAGACATCTAAGAGAAGCCCAGGAGGCAATGACAGTCCTGTGTCTGAAACCTGGGAGATATCATGACTGGAGATATGGATTTCAGAATCTTTTTTTTTTTTTTTTTTTGAGACAGTCTCACTCTGTTGCCAGGCTGGAGTGCAGTGGCACAATCTCAGCTTACTGCAACTTCCACCTCCCGGGTTCAAGCAATTCTCCTATCTCAGCCTCCCAAGTAGCTAGGACTACAGGCGTGCGCCACCACGCCCAGCTAATTTTTGTGTTATTAGTAGAGACGGGGTTTCACCATGTTGGCCAGATGGTCTCGATCACTTGACCTCGTGATCCGCCCACCTCGGCCTCCCAAAGTGCTGGGATTACAGGCAAGAGCCACCGTGCCCGGCCCAGAATCATCTTTTTATGAAGGTTGATGACATTACCTAGGAATAGTGGGTAGATTAAGAAAGTAAGACAGTCTAGTATCTTTGGAGTTTCAGTGTTTTTATGTATTATATTGTTATAAACTCACAATAACTATAAATTAGGTAGAACAAGAAATGAGGTTTGGAGAAGATACTTGACTTGTCCAACCAACTGTACTTGTCCCATAGTAGCCTCAAGCAGAGGCAAAAGAGGAAGTTGCCTATGTTGTATGGTTTATGGGTCACAAGTGAATGTCATCTCTTTCCTTCCCTGGGGAAAAATGTCTCAAAAAATCCAACCATAAGACATAACATCTCCAGGACCTCCATTATAAAATACACATTTCCTGCGGAAGGATAATAAATTTGGGTTAACCTAAAAGACAATTAAGAATTTTTAGTTCTAAAGATGCTGAGAGGTCATGCTAAGTGACCTTACAAATGAACTCAGAAGACAGCAAAAGCATTTTGAAGGGGGTTTGGAGAGAAATTCAGACTGGGTCCCATGGTGTAAAACCCAAGGCAGTTTAGTATCAGGACCTATGGGAGGATGCAGAAAATTGAAACTCATATTCCTACATAGCCATCCCTCCTCAGCTGTGGGTTCTACATCCATAATTCAACTAACTATGGATTGAAAATAGTCAGTTAAAAAGTACAACAATAAAAAATAACACAAATGGCTGGGCGCAGTGGCTCACACCTGTAATTTCAGCACTTTGGGAGGCCAAGGCGGGCAGACCATGAGGTCAAGAGATTGAGACCATCCTGGCCAACATGGTGAAACTCTGTCTCTACTAAAAATACAAAAATTAGCTGGGTGTGGTGGCAGGTGGCACCTGTAGTCCCAGCTACTCTGGAGGCTGAGGCAGGAGAATCACTTGAACCTGGGAGGCACAGGTTGTAGTGAGCCAGGATCGCACCATTGCACTCCAGCCTGGGCAATGGAGTGAGACTCTGTCTCAAAAAAAATAAATTAAAAAAAAAATACAGTATAACAACCATTTATATATAGCATTATTTATAATACTTAAGCATTATAAGCCTAATTAATATAAGTATCTTATAATATTTAAGTATTATAAGTAATCTACAGATGATTTAAAGTACCTGGGAGTATGTATATAGGTTATACACAAGTACTATGCCATTTTATATCAGAAACTTGAACATCTGAAGAGTTTGGTATCTGTGAGGGGTCCTGGAACCGATACCCCATGGACCATGGATATTGGATTTCCTTCAATAGACTTTGATTACTTGTTTGGATATGGCAGCAGAGAAGAACAGCTAGGACTATCCTTGGCCTTCTCTGAGAAAATCTTTTGATGAAAGATGTCTTTGATGTCTTGTTTTTTCTTTTTTTGAGATGGAGTCTAGCTTTGTCACCCAGGCTAGATAGAGTGCAAGTGGCACGATCTTGGCTCAAGGAAACCTCCGCCTCCCAGGTTCAAGTGATTCTCCTGTCTCAGCCTGAGTAGCTGGGATTACAGGCAACTAATACCACATCCAGCTAATTTTTGTATTCTCAGTAGAGATGGGGTTTCACCATGTTGGTCAAGCTGGTCTCAAACTCCTGACCTCAAGTGATCTACCTGCCTTGGCCTCTCAAAGTGCTGGGATTATAGATAGGAGTGAGCCACCGTGCCTGGCCAGATGAAAGATACCTTTGGATGAGCATTCACTGTGTTATGAACTGAGCTAAAAGACGTGCTAAAAGCTGTCCCAGAAAGAACACCCTCATAGCCAGACATGCTTCTCATGTCAGAAGAAGATCTGTCACTGAACTTGAGGTGACTTCTCTAGTCCCATCTCCAGCACCACACCTTTCTTTCTGTAAGGCCTGAGATGTGCAGGCAGGCTCATGTTTTGAGATAAAATAGCTTATAGACATGCAAAATTTTAATAAAAAGAGTACTTGAGATCTGTCCCATGATAGGATTGAACGTAGGACCAAACAATTTGGGAGTTAGAAGAAATGAAGAGCTTATTAGGTATAAATACTTTAATTTAACATGTGAGGAAAAAGAAATCCAGAGGGGTAAAGTAACCATCAGCAGGGTCACTTCAGGGTAAAATTTCCTAACTCACTCCAGTGCCCTTTACCATCTTGATCCATCTCAAATTAAAATGTGTGTATAATAATAGACAGAAATTAAGCCTCATTTGTTTCCATATGGATATTCAGTTGCCCAGCATCCTTTGTTGAAAATATTTTCCTTCATTCATTGTTTTGTCAAAAATCAACTGACTGTATATATGTGGATCTATTTCTATAACCATTATTCTGTCTCATTGTGTTTATTCTTACACCAACTACCATTGTCTTGATCCCTGCTGCTTTAGAATAAGTCCTTAAATCAGTCAGTGTGACTTGTCCAACTTTGTTCTTCCTTTTCAAAATTATTTTGGCTGTTCTAATTTCTTTGCATTTGTATTATTTGCATTTGCATTTTATTTCCATATAAATCTTAGAATCAATGTATCAATTTCTACAAAAAAAAAAAAAAAACTTGCTGGGATTTGACCAAAATTAGGTTCAATCTATAGATCAACTCAGGAAGCTCTTTATCATCTTAGTCTGCAGTTCCCCTCTTCTGTGGCCATCAAAGGAGTCATCCCTCTGAAACAATAGAAAGTACTGGGAGAAGGGATGGAAACTCTAACGCTGGCTACAGGGACCTCTGATACACATGTTATATTTGCTCCAAGGCAGACTTTCCGATGGTCCCTGTAAGTCACCCAAGGAGAATGATTCTGATTTATTCAGAGAATTCAGAGGAGGAAATCATTGTACACTGAATAAAATTACTCCCGTTTAAAACCTCTGTTTCATAAAAAGAATTCCCTAACAGCATCCAAGTCATTGAAACAATCCTTGTAGCCCTGTGCATATTGCTGTACAGACTGAAGGGAAACAGGCTGCATCTTTATGGCCCTGCTGTTCAGCTCCTGCCTTTTCTCCCACAGCAGCAGCATCTTACCAGGTATGTTCCTAGTTCCCCAATGACAGAGAGCTGTGTTTCCTCCAATAGACTGAGGGCCCCAGGAATGAAAGAACCATGTGTTTTTCAAGCAGTGCATAATGCCTAACTGTGATAGATTTAATTATTGTTCAGCAACTATTCATTCTCCTCTCCTAACCTTCATAGGAGGTATTGCTGCCTCACTGATGTTGGCTTGGCCATGTGACTTGTTTTGGCCAATCAGAGGATAGAGAATATGACACAAGCAAAAACTTGAAATGCACTTGTATGGTAGATTTTGGATTCTTTCATTCCTGCCTTTAACTGTAAGTGTGCCTGAGATGGCTTCAGGTCAAGAAGGACAAGTGACATGGTAATGGATCTAGACCCAATCTGTAGCTCAAAGCCTAGTTCTACCAAGCTCAGCCAAGATCAACTGAACCCTAGATAATAAGCAAAAAAAATAAATGCTTACTGTTTTATAACACTGAGTTCTGGGTGTTTTGTTACACAGCACTATGGTGGTAACAGCTAACTAATATACTGTCAAAATCGAGAATTCAGTATACACCCAATTTCTATTTCAACATCTCCCTTTAGATCTAATGAGTTTGAGAAATTTATGAAAAACAAATCACAAGGTCCAGTGCTCAAATGGAAAGGATGATAAGGAAGCCAACTGTGGTGTTTCCAGAAACCATTCTTCGTATGTTAGTACTGAGAGGACTGGCTTCTCACTGACCTAAGGACTGGACATTTATATTACAAGGCAGAAAATAGCCCTCTGTCAACCTCAGCCCCACAAGCCCCACAGCCCTTTCCCTCACCTGTTCAGAAGTTTTGTAAAAGGCCACAGAGGCATTGACCAGTTTTAGCCGGTCTTCCATCTTCAGCATGAGCTGCTGCCAGTGGAGGGCCACCTTCTCAGCACATTCCCGGATGGCATCGGCATCGTAGTGGCCGGCCTGGAGCAGCACCTCGGCTTTCTGCTGTACCTGCAGGGCGCTCTGGTGCGTCTTCTGCAAGGAAGTGGCATGAAAGAGGGACTGGGCACAAGGGGAGGAAAGAAAGGTCCGTGGGAACAACCCAGGCATGGTATGGGAGGGGGTGGAGTGAGGCGTGAGTGGAAAGATGCAGAGAAGTTAAAGAGCTTTAAATGATTGATCCATGTTGTCATGACCATTAATACATTATTATTTTTAAACATATTACAAAATCATACATTTTTATTAGCTAATTTCTCACGACCCTAACTCCTGTCCCCATTTCTTTTTCCTTGCAGCACTCTAGATTTTAAGGACGTTGCAGTTTCTATAGTAGAAAAACAGAAGTTATGTATCAATCTGCTCCCTAATTGGCTCATAAATTAAATTTCCTTTACAAACAGAAAAAAATTGTACATTATGCTTTCACAGGAGGTTACTACCACAGTCCCATTTTATAGATCAAGTACAGACAGCACATGAAAAAAAACCATGTAACACAAATCTCAGCTAACAATGCAATCATTTAAAACATTAATAATCAGTTGAAAAGGATTCCAGCTAAAGGAATAAATTTGGCAGGTTAATAAAGCCAGAGAGTAACCTCCTACATTATCCCTTAATTATTTACCAGGAGGGCACAAAAGTGCAGGAGAAAATTCACTTCAAGGTTATTTACACGTGTGTGTGTGTGTGTGTGTATGTGTGTAGAAGGTCTATTTTCTTTTCTTTTCTTGTCTTTTTTTTTTTTTTTTGAGGCAGGGTCTTGATCTGTCACCCAGGCTGGAGTGCAGTGAAATGGTGCAATCATGGCTAGCTGCAGCCTTGAACTGGGCTCAAGAGATCCTCTTGCCTCAGCCTCCAAATAGCTGGGGAGCTGGGACTACAAGTGTGTGTCTCTACACCTGACTAATTTGTTACTTTTGGTAGAAATGGGGTCCTGCTGTGTTGCCCAGGTTGGTCTCAAACTCCTGGCCTCAAATGATCCTCTGGCCTCAGCCTCCCAAAGTGCTTGGATTACAGGCAAGAGCCACCACACCTTGCCAGAAGTTCTATTTTTTTTTTTTTATGCTTTCTGATTTAAGCTAAATATGCCATGTGTTCTCTGAGTTTATATTAACTGTAGGAGGTGGGGAGAACTAGGGTGGCAGGGAGAGAACCAAATGGAATTAAGATTTACTAAGACAAAATACTGATGTGAATGATTCATATGAGAATGTTAGAGTCCTAATGACTTGAAAGAACTACTATCATTCCAACCTCAACTGTTGGGATTGTTCCAGACTAATGGTATAGTACTAATTTGGCCTTTGCACTTTGAGAAAATGATAGTTCAGCTGGCAGTGAAAAAGAACAGCTAGAACTCAGTAACTTACTCCAGAATTATTTTCTACCCTTCTTCTTGGGCAGCAATTCTGGACAGTTCCCAAGAGCTAATCCACTCTGCACTCCTTGTGTGTCTAAGGACAGCCTCACTCATTTTCACCTATACCTCTCCCTGATTCCCACCATGATAGCCCCTCACCCTCATTCCAGATTGCAGTCTACGCATTCTCATTTACCTTCTCCAGTCTATCCCCCACCTCTGGCTTCTCTTCACTCTCTCCTGAATCTTTATTCAGAGTTAGCAATGTTAGCATGACCTCCTCTTACGACCTAGACTCCTTCATTGCCTGCCTGTCCACTAAGTCAGCCCTCAATCTCGATGACTACATCAGCATTGGGTACCTAATTGCTGAATGGGGCTAGAGAGAGTAAGCTAGTGGGTAGAAACGATCCACTACAATCCCTGGTTTTCTTTCTTTGTCTTACTTATTGGCATCATTTTCTTTTCCTGCCTCCTAAATGTAGAGTATCAAGGTCAGTTCTCCCACCCCTCCCACCCACTGCTGCAGAGCTTGCATCTATTCCATTGGTTTCTATTATCTTCTCTTTGCAGATAATTCCCCAGTCTATGTCTCTTGTCTGACATCTGACTCTCTTCTTTAGTTGCTCTCAGATGCAAGGGTGAGTTGCCTGCACAGATCTCACCCTAGTAAGCAGCACTGATTCAGTTGATTTAGCTGTCTGTCCCATGTCAACCTGGCAGAAAGAGGCATTCTGTAAAAGTGACCTTCCCGGAGAGAGGAGGGGCCTTTGCCAGTGCATGGGAAGGGCTTCACTGCTCTATTAGAGCCTCTACCTCCCCCAGACAGCTTCTTAAATTCCACAGCTGAAACTAAACTCTTCTCTTTAAAACAGTTTTCCCATGGTAATCTGCCACTTCTGTTGGCACTCCCCTTCTCTCTCCTCCTAGGATTACAATCTTGACATCATTCTTGCTTGCCGTTCCCCTCTCCCCAATCCCAGCCCAGCCCTCTCCACTTTAGACACAGACTGGTGTGGTGATGACCTAATGCATCTTCTTGCCTTCCATTTCTAATCCAAAAATTCATTCTTGACATCTTTAACAGATCCCTTTAATTCTCTGTAATGGAAAGTACTAGCATTATGTAACTTCTAACATCTTTTCCAGTTCTAAAACTCTCATTTTACGCCATAAATGTCACTACCTTCTCTCAGTTCAAGTCTTCAGTGGTCTTCCCATTGCTAGTCCAAACTTTGGAGCCTGTCATTAAAAGGCCCTCATTGCAACACGGTCCCAAACTACTTCTATAACATGACCCCCAATTCGTTCCTTACAAAAACCCTTTGAAAACACACCATGTACTTTCTTGCTTTTGCTACCTTCATTCTTCCTGCCTTTAATGAACGTCCCAAGTCTCTCCCCAGATATGTTCCAGCTTTCCTTTGAGACTCAGCTCAAGTCTACCCTCCTTAGATGAGGCCTTTTCAGACAGCCCGAGACTCACAGTAAACCACCCTCCTCTGAACTTCTACGTCACTCATCTAACACTTGGCTGATTCTCCTTACGTAGACTGTGACACTCTCAAGGCAAGGATGGTTTGGAAAATCATAAGCACTGTGCGTATGCATATATTTTCTTGTTCTCTCAACATGACTACAAGGTGGATATTATTATTCCCATTTCACAGATTAAGAAACTGAGGATCAGCTGGCTAAGTGACGTGCCCAAACATGTACAACCCAAAGAAGTAATGAAACCAGAAATAAGACTCATATTTGACCCATCTCCAAACCTGTGCTCTTTCCACCATATCACATCATTTTATCTCTAGCAATTAGAACAGTATCTATAGTATCTCATTTAAAGGAAGGGTTCACCAAATGAACATTAACAATTATGATAATTATCTGGCCTCTTCTCAATATCTAAAATGAGCATATAATTGTTATCATAAATTAGTTACATATTTTTCTGTGACAATGGAGAAGTAAATCTTGATTTTCCTACAATATATGGAAATATATTATATACATAAGATATATACAAATGTTCTTTCTTACGTTGAAACTCATTATCATGTAACAGTCCTGGGACCACCTTCCCCCTTTAATTTCCTAAATGATAAACTCTTATCCATACGACATAATCTTTGTTTTGCTAAGCTTAACTCATTATTTTGCACTTATTTCCGCTCCCCATTAACTAATCCTATTCAGTGCTACATTCTTAAGACATGGATTATCAAGGACATTAATATTTAGTAGGAGTACTCGGAAGAAAATGGAACTGAATCAACTGAATTTATTATCCAGTTTTAACTACTTCTGCTGACATAATGCCTATTCTTAAAATAGGATTTCAAAGAACGATAGATTTTGAAGTTCACAGTTCATGAAGATTCATCAGCTACATCTTGGATACTAACAACATTTCTGGGTTTGTCTGACAAAGCTAAGTTTCTTTCAAATGCTCTGTACTGATTTCCATTCTGAATGGCTCTGGGGAAGACTTCTTGAAATCAAGGCTACTTCAGGTAAAAATCCTGAACTTCCTTAGAAAGACCAAAACCTTCAACCTGATGGGGTCACTCAAGATATTACAAGTTAGCAAACATCGTGGTTTGCCCATCACAGTTCTAGTATATGCCTATTCTTCTGGCTTAGTTATTAATAATTCTCTCCCTCACTTTTAAAGAATCTCATTTAAAGAATAAATTATATGATCATCGCTTTTCCAACTTTTTAATTTTCCCTGTGGAACCCAGGGTTCTTTCTGAGGGTTCAAGAAGTCAAATTATGCTCCCCACCAAGAATCACTGTAAAGGCCTCCAGTAACACTGTCAAAATAAGTTAAACCAAACCCAACTGCTATCACTACCTTTGAAATAGCTTATATCTTCTCTGGCATATTTTCCTTCTGATGGAGAACCTAGTCTGAACTGACACACTTAAGAAGAAGTGCAGGCCACCTGGAGAACAAGCATATGTGGCAATTCTAGTTCTGTTCCCTTCATTGTTCTAGCCAGCACAGACTCTGCCTACCTTTCATTCCCAATATCTTCCAGAAATCCTAACTGCTCTGGCATGCCTTCTCCAGACCAAGTGGCCTATATCTCAACATCAACTCCAAGAATATTTGATCAAGTGGTATCCATATAGAAACCCAGAACTGATTAAGAGGTGTTCATGCTTAGTGAGCCTCTATTCTGTAAAGATGCAACAGCATCTACCACAAATGAATACATATTGCATATGTAGTCATGTGGGATGTAGTCATTTCAAGCACTATGAATACATTTACCCATGCTTCCTCACAAGCTCATTGAGATGCTCAAGGGTGTTATGACACTTGGTCTTACTTGTCCACCATTGGATTAAGACAAACCTTTACCTTTTCATTCAAGATAAATAAAGAGGAGGTATGGCCAAGAGCTGTCTTCATTCTACCCAGCATGCCTCATAACTGTGCTATACCTCTAGTCTGATTGCTCAGCCTTCATTTTCTTCATTGCTGCTTATGACTATGGGAACTGGACCACTGTGTGCCCGATTCTTTTTTTGTTTCTGAGACAGGGTCTCACTCTGTCACCCAGGCTGGAGTGCAGTGGACTGCAACCACTCAGCTCACTGCAACCCCCACCTACTGGGTTCAAGCAATTCTCCTGCCTCGGCTTTCTGAGTAGCTGGGATTACAAGCACCCACCACCACACCTAGCTAATGTTTTTGTATTTTTAGTAGAGACAGGGTTTCACCATGTTGGCCAGGCTGGTCTTGAACTCCTGACTTCAAGTGATCTGCCAATCTTGGCCTCCCAAAGTGCTGGGATTACACGCATGAACCACCATGCCTGGCCCCGATTCTTGATTATAACCCCAATCTTACTTTTTCTTTATAGTGAATACATCCTAACACTGTGACATTTGGGTGTGTCAGTTAGCTACAATAGAGACAGCTGATGATAATAAAACTTACTTCTTCTGGTTAATTCCTCCTTAGAAAATGATTTGCTGATACTGTGTGCACAATATAAAGTTGGTTTTTGAATCTCAAATCCCAGACAGTTCTTGTAGTACTAATAATGGTTCCTAAGAAAATATCATGCATCTTAACACTATGTTTATATACCCAGGATAGTTCTAGGAAATTAAATGGCTGCAATCAATCAATACTAGTTTAAAAATGGTTAGCAATCAGTTGGATTACTGCATAAAAAGACACAGGCAATTAAAATTTTATTGTTTGCCATCATTGTTGTAGAAATGACTCATTAACAATCTTTTTTTTTTTTAGTAAAAGGTATTAACCTTTGCATTTCTTACACACTCAAAAGTGGGTTAAATTCTATACTGAACCATAAGTAATGAATGTCTTCGAAGTTCTCATTCTGTCTCTTTTCCCACTGGTAATGAACTTATTTTATTTTTAATATAGTTCTCATGTCCCATTTCCTACTCTTTTTCCTACACCACTATAAAGCAATCAGTTCAAGTCTCTCTGGGAAGGACAATGTCCCAGTAAAAAAGGATAGTTAAGGGTACTTAAAACAAAATTTATATTAGATTACCATAAATGAAGTTTTATTTTTAAATAGCCTTCCAAATAGTCCCTGTTGATTAACTTCTTCTGGTTGCAGTTTATTTTTAAATATTGTTCTACCAGCATGATTGAACAACTACTTTCAGCAGGGTAGACTACATCTAGTGCAATCTGCTCCAACAGTCACGATCCTTGTTAAAAGGCAGATACACATGATATCTAAGGGTTACATGTAAATCTAAGGTTTAAAAATAGGATCCTAATTTATAATGACGTTTGCACTTGTTTATCCTCAATCCTGAGTGATCTTGACTGGAAATGACTTCTAATTTTTTAGTTTTACATTTCCTCACATGGTACAAATCTAGAATGTATGAAAAAAAAACTAATGTACCAGTGGCCTTAAAGGTTGAAGGTACAGATATGTAACAAAGATTCTCATACGAAGTGTGAATACTTGTATTCTAATACCAGGCCTCCCTGGGGGATGAACCCCTGCATTTGCTTCCCCATCAATTCCTGGGTAAGATGAGGCTCCCTGGACCATCCCACTAGAAGGGGTACAGCCTTCACTGCCTGAAGGGACACCCATACCTGAGACTCACTCTGCCTGAAGTACAGAGCAGAAAGGGGAAGAAAGGACAGTGCAGCCAGATTTGGGTGTTACCTCGATGGCCAGTTGGAACTGCTCATGCTCCCGCTGCAGCTGCTCTGCTTCCGACAAAGAGCTGGCATTGACCAGGCTGGCGTTCAGCATTGACTCTCCATTGCGGATCCATCCCAGGACCTAGGGAGATGGGACACGCACACAGGTGAATGGCCTTCCGCAGCTTCCCCAGAGCTGTTGACTCCTTTCACCGGGACTTCAGTCAGAGAGAGCTTACTATCTTTTATCTTCTGTTGGAGAGAGACAGGAAGGGTCTCCACAATTAAAATGGTAATTCCCCCAATCTTACTGAGCACCTGGGCCATGAAGTACTTATTTTTTGTACCAGCTTCATTCCCAGCTCCACATCACCCTTCTGTCGCAATTTCCTTACCCACTTAGTTTAAACATTACTTAACCTGGTTGTACTGTATGGATGTCTAAACTTCTTTCTGGAACACAGAATGGTATAAATAAATAAATTCCATCTGTTGGCATCCTTTTCTTTTTTATAAGGTCCCATTCAAGTAACAGCAACTTTGTTGTTACAAATCTTTACAATCTCTTCTTCATCTAGTGCAAGCATATCATTTTGTATGTACCACCTTTATGGTATTCACCACAGACTTCTGGTTCTGTTATTTCAACCTATGGTTCATCCTCTCTTGAGAACACAAACTTCCTGAAGTCTGGGACAATATATTAGTCATATTTTAGTCTCAGAGTACCTGGCACATACTTTGCATATAATGGGTGTGGTGTAGTAATGTTTTTGAAGTAATGGAGAATACCTAGGTCACCTGAGCAGTGAGTCTGATTTCCTCTACCTTGCAAAATAACTAAGAGTAGGCAGGTTTGAATTTCAGTAGGTAAACAACCCAAAAAAGGAGACAAGAGAAAGAAAAGCAAAATAACAGGAATAACCCATATTCTGGATCAGAAAAGGGGGAGCAAGCTGTAATACAATTGACCTACATTATTTAGAAGCCATGGGTAGGCTGAATGAAACTTCTATGTGATGTTAACAAGCACTGGGAGAAAGAAAACTCAACAAGAGATTATTAGGATAGAAGAAGAAACAGCTGACACTGTCTAGACAGTTCTAGGTGAAATGGGGATGTGGCAATTATCCAGCTAATAAAGTCAGAGCAAATAATGCAACTGGAAGAGTTAGGCTCTGAAAACCTACCTGGTGTCTGGTCACCAGAACACTGTCAAATACTCTACTTATTAGGGAGTCTGAGAGTTTGCTTAAAGAAGAAATAAAAGCTATTCTGAAATTTCAAGATCAGTAAATACCACCCATATGTCACCTCATGCCAAAGGAGAAGACATCACTATGTGTTTCAGATTTGCTTTCAGATTTTCCTCCCCTCTGCTTCTTCACATTAAACAATTAGAAAATACCAAGCCCATTCTCATGCTCCATAACTCATAGGCACCTCTCAAGTTTCAGCTCTGGGCAAAAAATGACTCGTGCCTTATTGTACATAGATAACGTCAGGGCATAAATCCCACTGAAGCTGGGCTACTTGGATTGAGACATTAATTCATGGCCAAGATGGCAGATTGTAGATGAAATGCCAATCTGTAAAGCAATTAGTTACAAGAAATAACTGCTCAGAGTGTTCACATGAAATCCCTGTTGTCACTGGTGGACTGTGGCTGGCTGACTAGAGGTACTAATGTTTTTGAAAAGTTGCCTGTAACTTTGGGGACATGCATTCATAGACTGCATGCCCAAATGCCTCATTTCTTTGGAAAATGGAGCTCACAAGGTCCCTCTGCCATGATTCATTGCATTTGGTTTGGTCTGAAGATGCATTTGAGGCTGTCAGAGAAACCATTTCTCCAAGTACATCACACATCAACGCCCATGGGACAATATGACTCTCTTTGGGCCTCTTCAGTTTTGTTAGAATATTTTTCTCTCCAGTTTCAGCCAACAGGAAACATGAGTTATAGCTATGGTGGTGGGATCCCTATTTACCAGCTTTTCATTTAGAAACATCATGGGTTTCAGTACCTACTTTTTAAAGTACATTGCATCATTTCCCTGTTCATTTTTATTTACTAAATGCTGTTTAAAAAGGCATCCCAGGACTTTAAAGTGGGAGATTTGACTTTAGGAAGCTAAAAATGCATGGTAGTTTATATCCATGGCTTAGTTCCAGGGTGGGACTGATCCGTATGAATGAGTCAGTCCCAGAAGTAGAACTGGCACGGTAGAGAAATAACATAAAATTTGGAGTCAGATTATCTGGCTTTTTTTTAACATACCTGGCAAAATCACTTAACCCCTCTGAACCTCAGTTCTGTCATCTGTAAAATAAGGATAATTGTACCTTCCCTTTATGCATTATAGGGTTGATGCAACAATGTGTACAATGTAAAGTCTGATGATTATGATGGTACTGGTGATGATTTTTAGTTTGGAGCAAAGCTGGGTAATAATGTGATTATTTATACCTCTCTCAATGAGAAGAGAGATTTATTCCAGAATCTGTATGAGCTTATTGGCATATTCTGATGTGATGTAGCTTCCTTAGCTGCTTTGTTATCATTATTCTTTTACTCGGATCACTGATAACCCTTGTTGGTATAATTTTCCATTACTACTGTTTGTCATCTTCCAGGTTCACAAAACTGGCTAGTTATTCTTCTGTGTGCATACAAATGCGTGCAAGTTAATAAATATCATAATTAAAATGAGAAAATGCTGATTCTACTAATCTTGAGCTGTGTGACCTTGCAAATATCATTTAAGCTCCCTAAGGCTCAGTTTTCTCATCTGTAAAATATGAACACTTTCCTTATATAAGGCACCAGGTAAAGAGAAAAGAAAATAATTAATGTAAAATTATTTTTCAAACCATAAAATGAATATTGACATTGATCAATCATTTTAGGCAACAATTTACCCAATGGGCTAGATGATCTTTAAAGATAATTTCCAGCTCTAACATTCTACACTTCTTTCAAAACCCAAAGAGTGCCCCTATATCCATAGGGTATCCAAGAAAATCAGTTATGTAGAAATGAAGGACTGAAAGAATATCACTGCTTAGAGACTTAAGAGCTAGGAATAAAAGAGTTCAGCTCAGTCTGAGCTTGAGGGGGGAACTGCACATGCAGATCTATTGCTTCTTCAGGCCAGGGAAGTTCAGCTAAGTCCAAGTCAGAAGACTGGATTTGAGTAAGTGGATGTGGATGTCCACAAATGGTGATGCCATTTAAGCTGGGCAGACTGAGCCTTGTAACTATGTAGGCTGGGAAGCCACCCATAGATGGCTATGTTCTCAAGGTCATACCTACAGCAAAGCTATGAGGCTGTACTTAAGGCAACTGACTCTAAGGACCGCTATTGTAGATGATTTATCACAAGGCATAGTTGTTTCTGAAACTCTAGCCACGGGAAAAATAATCAGCTCTTCAGATGGTAGCAGGGAGCCCGTCATATGTCCAGTGTTGCTTAGTTCTAAAAATCCGTGGTCCATGAGACTGCACATGTTCATCCTTCACGGTTTTATAGATTGTGGCCATATGTCCTCTTAATTATCTCCATTTTGAAACAAAAGGATGGTTCTTGTCCTGTTGGCTGCCACTCTTTTGGATCTACTACAATTCCTCTCTTTAATATTCAGTCAACAGAACCAAACACACTATTCTCCACAGGAAAATGAGGACAGGCTGATATTTTCTCCTTTGTCTTAAATGTCCATCTTGATTGTATGCAAATTTTGGCCAGCATTTGGTGCAAAGAAGCAAATTAAGCCAATGTCTTTAGTAATCAAATCAATATAACTTATTTCCTCATAGCTTAGAGACACAACATTTTATAAATCCATTTTAGCTTATTTTCCGCTAAATGCACTACTTTGCAGGAACACATATGGAAGTTCATTTAGTTTTATCCTCATTAGATAGGTCTTTCAAATCTTTCTGAATTATCTAATAGATGTGAGGTCATCTTCACCAGAGTAGTAATTTTCCCGGTAGCTATCAGAGCCTTCTGTGGGGTTTGGAGAATAATTTGGCATTGTGTGGTCTAGGGATCTGCACCATGGTCTGTAATTATGGAGTGGTTTTCCTTCAAGGTCCACCATTTCTCTAGGGGTGTTTGTTATAAAGTCCTACATAAACCCTCAGAAAGAAAATCAGTTGCATCAATCAGTTTCATTTGTTCTGAGTCCATGAACATAATTTTTAGTTTAATATCTATGCCTTGCTTTTCAGTGCTTCAGTTTAACATAATTTTGGTAAAACTACACTTAAGGTTATGAGGAGCCATGATCAAATTTAAACCTTTAATCTATGACCTCTAATGACGTAGTTGTATCATAATCCATTATTGTCCTCTTCCTTTCTGCCCCTGTTAATGGTATCTCAATTAAGGTGTCCTTTTCTTTCTTTCTTTTTTGAGACTACATTCAAAAGAGACTCTCAAGCTACTGTCTAAATTTAGCCTCACTGATCAATACTGACATCTAAATTAACTCCCTTTTTCCAAGAGTCAACAGCTTCCAAATCAATATTTCCTGCTCCACCAATTTCCATCAAACACAAGTGTCTTCTCTGAAACTGGATCAGAGGACTCCCTAAGGAAAGGGCCTACACTGACAAGGAAAACAAGTCTGTCTAATGAGGCATGGTGGCTTAACCAAGCAGCAGTCCCTTAGCACCTCGAGGGCCACTGCCCTTTGCAAAGGGTTTGGTAGGTTTCCTGAGAATCTGATTTGAGCAACTTTGTAGTCCTGAACTACAATCCTACGGTGTGTCATTTTTATCATGGTAGGGATAAGGAATTTTCCCACCCCCACAAAAGAATTCCTTTTTGTCTTCCCATTCATGAAATTATAAATGGGAAAGTATATAGATATTAGTCCACCCCAGATTATTTATATAGAGACAGTCTAGTTCCCCATTTGAAAAAATACTTATCATCAGCCCAGTCTCCTCCTATACAGAATGTGTAGCTGGAGAATGAATATATTTCTATTTTAATATCAGCCAAGGAAAAGAGAATTAGGGAGTTGACTCTACCACTGATGCTGGAGAAAAATAAAAACCAAGAACAAAAGCAAATTAATATATTTCATTTCAAAGTCAAATAGGAATGATTTTTCTGTTATCTGTTTTGTTCAGATGGTCATTCCTACCACCTTCCATTGATGGGAACTACCAAGTAGGAGCAACAGAGGACTCCGATGACTTGCTGGAGCCCTGCTGACCTCAGACAGGTACCACCCTCTCCATCAAGCTTAGGCCATGCCTGCTCCTGTCTTCTCAGAAATGGTACTGCTGCGGTCAGGAAAACCTCAGACCGTTCAGTTAGAGGGATTTTTTTCTTTATTTTATTTTTTCTTTATTTTTAAATTTTGAATTGATAAACATAATTGTACATATTTATGAGAAACGTGATATTTTGCTACAGATACACAATGTGCAGTGCACATTGTAACTGGGATAATTATCACCTTATTTATTTGTGTTGGAAACATTCAAATTCCTTTTTTTAGCTATTTTTGAAATGAACAATAAATCGTTGTTAACTATGGTCACCCTACTGTACTATACCACACTAGAACATATTCCTCCTAACTGTAATTCTGTGCCCATTAACCAACCTCTCTTTATCCTCCCCTCCTTTCTACCCTTCTCTACTCCTGATAGCCACTACTCCACCATCTACTTCTATGAGATCAGCTTTTTTGGCCCCCACATGCATGTGATATTTGTCTTTCTGTGCCTGGCTCATTTCACTTCACATAATGTTGGAGGGCTTTTATTTCTCCTAGGACCACATGGCAAGACTTGTGGCCAGAAGAGGCAAACTTTAGGACCTTGGATTTAGGAGGCCTGGGCTAAAGTTTCAGCTAACTAGTCAAGAATCCTTGGGGAGCACTCATCCTATGGTACCTTAGTTTCCTCATTTGAAAAGCAAGCATAACACCACTTCTCCCCATGGGTATGTTCTCTTAAAATGAGATTATAAATGAGAAAGTACTTCTCATATGAAAACAAAGTCCAATCTCAACTACTAAATTGCAGAATGTGCATGCTCATTACTGTTCTGGGCCTGCTAGGATTTCCACCAAGCCCTTAAAATAACAGTTCTCTCTGGAGACTCAGATGTGATCCCAGTGTCATTAAGCAGAAACAACCTGGAGGGCAGCACTGTAACCCCACCTTGCTTAAGGCTCAGGAATTTAATCTGTGCTCAATACAGATCTTTAGCATGGCGTGGGTGGGCTGTGGCTCAACACTGATTGGAGGAGATGGGGAGTGGAGAAAATAGTTTTTTCATTATAATAAATAACAATATGATAACTAAGACATAGGCATTAAAGCAAAGAATATCCTTACTATAAGGAATCAAGCAACAATTAAACAAAATAAAATGGTTTTGGCCCTCATGCTAAATCAGTAGGCTTAATTCTAAAAGTGCCAGCATGGAGAGGTATGGTTTTCTGAAGAAAATAGGTAAAAGCTCTAGCAGCTGGTACAGACAAGAAAAAAAAATGTTTAAAGGAAAGATGTTTCTCTGCTTAGGATGGTAGAGTGCGGCAGAAAGGGGCAACCATAGGAGTGATGCGGTGCCTGCCCTGATGGGAAGCCCTCCGTGACCCGTGGAAAGCCGTGGAATGCTCTCTCCTCAGGGTGACCATGGTCTGTTGACCTCCTAAGCTTCAGTGGCCTAATCTATAAAATGGGAATAAAGTCTACTTCAGAGAACAGTTGTGAAGACTGATGAAGATGTGTATAACAGGCCCACAGCACTCAACAAATGGAACTATTATTATAATTTTACTTCTTTAATGCACCCTCCCACATTGTCCAAATAGTAATTAAAACAATTACCACTTAGTCTGTTCTTTTTTTTTTTTTTTTTTGAGATGGAGTTTCGCTCTTGTTACCCAGGCTGGAGTGCAACAGCATGATCTCGGCTCACTGCAACCTCCACCTCCTGGGTTCAGGCAATTCTCCTGCCTCAGCCTCCTGAGTAGCTGGGATTACAGGCACACGCCACCGTGCCCAGCTACTTTTTTGTATTTTTAATAGAGACGGGGTTTCACCATGTTGACCAGGATGGTCTTGATCTCTTGACCTCGTGATCCACCCGCCTCAGCCTCCCAAAGTGCTGGGATTACAGGCGTGAGCCACCGCGCCTGGCTATCTGTTCTTCATATGTGTACTTTTTGTTTTTTTTGAAACGGGATCTTTCATTGTCATCTAGGCTGGAGTGCAGTGACATGATCATAGCCCATTGCATCTTCAAACTCCTAGACTCAAGAGTTCCTTCTTCCTTAGCCTCCCAATTAGCTGGGACCAGGAGCATATACCACCACATTCGGCTAATACTGAAAATTTTTTGTGGTGTCTTACCATGTTGCCTAGGTTGGTCTCAAATTCCTGGCCTCAAGTGATTCTCTTGCTTTGGCTTCCCAAAGTGTTGGGATTACAGGCATGAGCCACCATGCCTGGCCTGCTTGGTCATTGTGTGTATGTTCCCACAGACTCCTAGAGATCTAGGTATGTCTTTGGATAAAATGTCTAGCATAATGCTTCATCAGATAAGTTACTTTTTCTTTCTGAAATCAACTTTAATATGGTGAGAAAACTTTCCTATAATATTCATACACACTTTGAAAACAGTGATGGTAATTGCTACTAGTTATTGAATATTAACTATGTGTCAGGCACACAGGTGCCCCAAATTAATTAGCCTGACTCTATATCCTATATATGTATATTGATAAACGATTTGTATATTTCCCATGGAGTGCTTGACAGGATTGAGGGCAGAAAGAAAGAATAGATTCAGTGACTGAGGACAACTCTGGAATGGATTGTTATATAACAGATAAATCATGCATTTGTTCTTTGGGCTATCGCGTCATTGGGTTTATTTGTTACTGCAGCCAAGCTTTCAGAAACTAATACAAGCAGTCCTTAATTTACCTATTTTTGAAGTGCTGGTTACTTAAAGGGGGACCAGTGGCTCTGTATGCCCTACTTCATACCAGGAATAGGTAGGTCCAAGGTCAGGCTCAGCTGGCTGAGAAGCCCATGCTGAAGGAAGAAGGCCAGGGCTTACCTGTTTGACTTCAGCCTGAAGGTGCCGTAATTGGAGGCACTGCTCTAGCCGCTTATGAGTTTGCTCTGCATTGAGCTCCAATTCATGCTGCTTCTCATGGAGAAATTCCAGTAACTCTTGTACCTGGGCTGCCAGATCAATGTCCTTTTCACAGATCAACTCAATTCCTGATTTAAAAACATGTAAATAATTAAAAACCAGCTAGTACCATGAAGGTTACATTTCCTTCAATATGTATAAGAAAACTGGAATTCCAAACTCTAAACATTCCTCTGTGAAACTGGGTACCACAATGGGCCCTTGTTTGGGATACTAAGATTATGACATCTCTTTTGTATTAACTAATCCTTTGCTTAAGAATTCCTTTTCAACAGCTGATCAGTTCCTTATCATCAACAGAAATTAGAGTTATCTAGAGGTTCATCCCTAGACATGAAAGCACCCAGCAATTCCTGCTGGGGGATTTGCCAACACCCAGAATATTCACAAACAAGCCTCTATATCATATTGGAAAACAGAAACCAAACCAAAACACTGTCTCAGTACTTCTGCCAACAACACACTTTTTTTTAGCTGGTCAGATATAATTTATCATTAGATGGTAAGTTCACTCCAATGAGAGTAGATGTACAATCGTGATTTTTAAAAATTCCTTTTAAATTCCCTGCAAGTGTTGCACAGGTACAGTGGTGATTTTATTAGCCAACTACTTAGGTCCTCTAAAAAAGGAATTTTTAGAAATATATGCTAGCTCTCATATATTATTTATAAAACTCAGACAAACACACCTAATAAATACAACCCAGCAATACCATGAGGATAATGAGAGCTTATTCATTTAAAAAAAGCTTCATGTTGAAGTTGTGCCCACACAAGGCGCGTTTGCTCATTGTTTTTCTACTGATTTATAATTAGAGTAAGCTCAGTCAGTCACTGACAAGTGTTCCCAATGTTTATGTATAAACATCCAACATTAATAAACTGTCAACCATCTAACCTACAATGAAAGCCTTGAGTCAATATATGCCAGCCAGAAGCTGCGGCCCCACTTGTTTACCTCCTTGTCTTACTTTTCCTGTATACTTTTCCCAATTCATGAGCACAGGTGCGCACACACACTTCCTCTCTTCACCCTGCCAGTTTTCCTACTTATACATTATCACCAGCAGGACTAAGGTAGCCTTCATCAAATGAATTTCTGCCTCGGAAATAAACAAATAGAGAGAGCAAAGGAACTGCTTTAGTAATCAAAGTCATTCTCTTCACTGGTAACTTGAATTTGATTTCTTACTTGGCTCTCAAAAACTACATGAAAAGTATACTAGCTTTCATTCCTTACTTGGCTCTCAAAGACTATATGAAAGTGTACTAGCTTTGGAACAGTCCTGAGTTGGAATCCTGACCTTGGGTAAGCTACCTAGACTCTCAGAAGCCTCAATTTTCTCATATGTAAAATATGAATTTACATACCTACCTACCTCCTAAACTTGTGGTATTAAATGAGAGGATTCATGTAAAGTATCTCACATACACACATACTACTGTGTATACATGGCACACAATAAATATAGATCATTGTTCCTTAGACGACCTGTGGCTTTCCTGACTCCTGACTCTCACCTTAAACGTTCAACTTTCTGCCTTCTTACATTCATACGCTCTCTGTTTCTAACTCTCTCCGACTTGTTGCAAGTTGTGACCCATGTTGTTTCTTGATTTGGATTGTCTACATGTTTCTTATTCAGCCTTGCTTAGATCCTTAGCTCTGGGAAGGTCCTAACTCTGGACTGCTTGCTTATTCTGATCCCTGAGTCCACCTGGCTCTGCAACTTCTTAGTTCTGTCCAAATCCTTTCCCTGGCTCCTCATCCAATAATCTAGACCCAATGCAGCTTTGGTCCTGATGCTGGCACTTTGTCTGAGATGCTGAAGAATAAGATCCCAACCAATGATGGGGTTCAGACTCAAAAGTCCAGCAAATAAGTCACCAAAAAGGTAGTGTACTTCCATAGGGAGCCTGCCAATCTCAACATGGCTACCTAAAAAATAAATCCCCTTTAGGAGATTTCCTCATCACTCCAACTTACACCATCAGAAATGCATCACTGCCACCACCAACACACCTGCAGCATATAGTCGGGGGAGTATAAGAAAAGTCTGTACATGCTAAGGGAAATTCATCTCTGGAGGCAAAAATAGTGTTTTATATAAGGACAATATGGGAGAGTGGGAACACTTTTTTTTCTGGTGTTACATGGTAATAATTTCAGTATCTTTTCATGTTTATTTTTTGTGTCTGTTTCATAATTCCAAGTCCCAGCTCCTGAAATATCTGTGGGAGACAGAAAAGAACGGCTTGTTCTTTTGGCAGCCAACTCCTTCCAGTTACTATTTTTAGTTACCAAGGGGATGAGGTAGAGCATCGCCTTGACTGAAATAAAAAGTAGGAATACAAAAATGTCTACCTCTGCAGTGCCTGGCAGAGTACGATGACCCCTGACCCTTATCTTTGCTTTCTGGAAATGCAATTTAAGATCCATCTACAGAAGCAGACGTTCTTCCTCACTTCCAGTCTCAGTGTGGATTTGTTGTAGCTCATATTCATTCTGCTTGTGTCTCTGGTGTTCAGGATGCTGGGCTTGGGCAAAATGTCTTTCTAAGTGAGCCTCATGGCTCACCTCTGCCACACTACGTTACTTATCAAAGAGGATAGCCACCTACTCAGGATGCCATCCAGGGCAGGCTCCCAGCATGTCCTGAGAGTCATTCCCTGCATTTTCATCCATCTAATTTGATGTTGTTTTATGTGAGATGAATGTAGGAAAATAAAATGGATGAAGACAATGCTTATTGCACCTCTGCACTCCTTAGCAACATATCATGTTGTGGACGGAATAAATGCAAGGAGCATGAAGAGTTATTCCAGCCACACCTAGAAGAATAGAAATTATCCCCTCTCCCACTGCCCCCAAACACATTGATACGAGTCCCAGTCAAAGCCCATCAAATAGTAAGTATCTGTCAATCAGCAGCAGGCAGTTTAGTTGTGTTGACATTACCACTCTCAATCTAATGATATATCTATTTGTTTTTCTTAGAGGCTATCAGACCCGCGAAAAGACATGTTTTCTCTTTCCATCAAGTAGTGGATATATTTGTGATGAAATCACTTGTCAGGCTCTTCTTAAAAAGTTCTACTGAGACTTCTTTCTGTTGTGCCCCCACAATTTCCTGGGCCCATACCCCAGTCAGAACACTTCCATTGATGTTAGTTCCTTATTAACTTGCCCATGTTGTCCCAGGAAAGCTGGACTTCTGATGCTAGGGCCATGTCAGTCTTATCCATCTCTGCCTCTTTAAGCCTTAGCACAATGCTTCACTCATATCACCCAATAAATACCTAATCAATGAACAAATGAGCCTCTTTAGAGAACTAAGGTCATATGCTGTGGAGGAAAGTACCTAAGAGCTTGGGGGAAGAACAGGCTTAAGTTTGCTCTGCATGCTGTGAATGGTGAGACTCTGGGCTCCTTCCCCTCTCTGAGCCTGAGTTTCCTTGTCTGTAAAATGGAAATCACAACGAGGACTTTTCAGGATGTTGTGAGAACTATGTGATATTTAATGTATACAGTGCCTAATATCCAGTAGGCTCAAATATTCATTTTCTCACTTTTTCCTCTCCCTCTGAGAAATTGTAATGAATACACTTTGCTGATGGAACTACTGAATGGCTTGTACGAAATGTAAATATAAAATCTTACTGACAGGTGTTTATATACTTGCCTAATGTATATCATTGGAAACGATAATGCTGTTAGACTAACTCTCTTAGGTACTTTCCTCCTGGCTCACATTAGATTCAGCTGGATAATTTTTTTTTTTTTTGAGACTGAGTTTTGCTGTGTCACCCAGGCTGGAGTGCAATGGTGCAATCTCGGCTCACTGCAACCTCTGCCTCCCAGGTTCAAGCGACTCTCCTGCCTCAGCCTCCCAAGTATCAGCTGGAGAATTTTTTTAAAAATCGCCACATCCTGACCACACCCCAGACCAATAACATCAGAATCTCTGTGGCTGGGTCCCAGCTGTTAGTAAGTCTTAAAGCTCCAGGGGTGATTCCAACATGGATCCAAGATTATGAACCACTGGATAAGATGGTAAAATAGCCAGAAACATGGGGAAACAGATACAGCTTCTGCTACACTCAGCAGAATGCTCTTCATTGCTGTTTGTTTAGGGCTCAAAGTTACAGCTAACAATAAGCCTTAGTTTGCGTTCCTTTGTTGCCAGATGGGGGTACCACTTTAATTTCCTCAAGGAGAGAGGTGACTGTGGTCTAGAGTAAGATTCAGATATTTCTGGCTATGCTGCCCCTACTTGTAACATGTTTCCAAAAACTGTGCTCTTTAACTATTGGTATCTGCCTTGGATACAGAACATCTTCTTTTCTCTTTTCTCTTCCTCTCTGCATTCCTCTTTCTGTGTCACTACCTCTACCTAACAGTTCAGAAATCACTAAGTCCGTTAATGAGGTTTTTAGATCAGTGTTCTCAACTCTGGTTGTACCTTAAAATCACTTGGGAAGTTTAAAAAAATCTGGGCCCATTCCAGACCAATTAACTAAGACTCCCTGAGGGATGGGGCCCAGACACTGGTATTTTTAAGAAGTTCCCCAGGTGATTCTCAATCTACAGCCAGGTTAAGAATCATTGTTTTACATCAAGGCTGCTTCTTCCCCTCCTCTCAGCCCTGCAAGATCCACATTCCTATTAACCCCAGAGTAGCTTCCATTTTGGAAACACACACACACACACACACACACACACACACACACACAGATCTTTTTTCTTTCCTTTTTGACACTAGTAAAATTTTTTGTGTTCCATTATTTTTACCTACATCTGTTCCACCCACACTGATGTTCATTCTTGATTAATTCAGCAAACATTACTATTGAGAACTTGTTAGGCACAAGACACTGGCTCTGCTAGATGCTGGGAATGTAAAGAAGGAAGAAAGAATCCTACCCTCATGCTACTAGAAAATCTAGTAACTTCAAACCCAAATAACTTCAACAGAATGCAGCATGTGCTAGAATATACTAGTTGTCAAGCTTCACTGAACCCTTTCCACCCTCCCATGTTATCCCACTTCATCCTCACATGACCCTATGTGGTAAGGATTCTGATGATCACTACTTTTCAGAGACTGGCGAACATGTACAAGAACATATACAGGTCCTAAGAGGTGAGGCTGGGATTTCAACCCAGGATTTCCTCCTGATTTTGTGTTCTAGCCTCTAGGTTCAAGGGGAAGAGTGATCCTTACAAAACTTAGTTTAAGAATTTATTTATTTTTAAATGTAGAGGTTGGGCTCTTCTCAGGCAAAGTAAATTTTAAGCATCATGACCACGGACTCCAGAGATATTTATTTCACTTGCAAACCTCGTATAAAGAGAGAATTTGATGCTTTGAGTAAATCACAAAAACAACATATCCATAGGGTACACGTCGCTGTTGTTTTATTCCTGAAGTCAAGTGTAACAGTCACATGGTCAGCTCTCATGGGAGAGAAGAAGTATGTCCTGGTCAGTGAGGGCAGTTAGGCTGAATTATGGAAAGTAAGAACTGGAGGGAACCTTAGGAATCAAGGCCTGCCACACGAGACAGAAGAAGAAACTAAAGTCTAGAGAGAAAGAAAAGGGACTTCCAAAATCAGACTGCTAGCTGCTGGTGGAACTGGACCTTGAATTCAGCCAGCGTATTTCCCCCAACTTCTTTCAGCAAAATCTACCACCTCACAACTTGAGGCTCAAATAGATGATTCCATAGTGAGGAAAGAACAATGAGCAAATTAAGAAGCTGTTCCTATTTACCCTGTTCCTGTGACTAATGTTAAGTTAAGCAAAGGCTGTTGCTTTGGTTAGAGTTGTGGGCACACCAGAGGGATTTAGTAAAGCCTGGCTCAACATCATAACCTTCACCTTTGAAAAGCAGCATACAAAAATTCCCTACTTCCATTTGCTACTATAAAATCAAAGCATAAGCCCTGCCCTTAATTTAGCATGAAGAACTAAATACCAAAAAAAAGTCTTAATATTGCTAATTGTCTTTTTTCTAAGACAACAGTTTATTTTACCTTTAGTCCAAATACAGTCCATTAAACAAAGACTATAAATGCCCAAGCCATTTATTGCCTCAGTCCTGAGTCTCTGAAGTCTTACATTCCTTAGCCATTGGGGGACAAGGCCCACTCTAAGCCCACTTACTACCAGGGTGCTGACGTGACCCATGAGGGCAGTTAGGCTGAATTAAGGAAAGTGAGAACTAGAGGGAACCTTAAGAATCAAGGCCTAACATACTAGACAGAAGAAGAAACTAAAGTCTAAAGAGAGAGAAAAGGTACTTACCCCTTACCCCATTCCCACCCTCCAGCTCTGGTGTGAATCTACCCTCCATTTCTCTGAGCCCAGAGATGAGTTAGATGCCTCCGCTGCAGAACCAGGCATTCAGCCATAAGACAGGGAGTGAGCATTCCTAAAACCCCTGGATTCATTCTCTTGAAAGCCTCATAGGCTATGCCAGACTGAACAGGTAGCTGTGGTAGGAGCAGGAGAACAGCCAGTCTCAGTAAGAGGCACAGAAGAGGCCCATCAAACCTCTTCTAACAAAGCTTATTTGTAGAACAGGATATTGTGGGGGTGGGCAGCCCATATGCCTGGGGTGTTTTCACCCACTCAGCCCTCATGGTTTAAGTGGATGCCAAGCTCAGCCCACCTCAGTCATAAGCAGTCTTCAGGAACTTCCAGCTCCCGACAGTGTTTCTGTTACTATGGATACTTGGCTCTTGGGACAGAGGTTGGCTTGCCCATGGTCACGTCAGCACCCTGGTAGTAAGTGCTGCAGGTTTCTAGGCAGACAAGGCTCCTCTTCCTGCTAGACACAACCACCATGAGGGATGAAGGATGAGCATCCCTGCATAGCTTCTCTGCCCGTCTCTCTGCTAGATACTGTGTCTGCATTCTCTTATGGTTCCCAGTCGTAGCTACATAGACAGCCACAGAGAGCACCATGAGGGCAAGCCATGGGTCTAGATCCCAAGTCCAGGTAACATTCCCAATCACAGAGAAAGGATTGCGGTTTCCCCTACTTCCCTAATAAGGTACAATCCGTGTCCTAGAACACTGACTCCCAAATTTTAATGCACACATGATTTACCTGGAGATTTTGTTAACATGTATGTTCAGATTCACAAGTCGGGGGTAAGGCCAATAATTTTGCATTTCTAATCTGCCCCCAAGTGATGCTGGTGCTGCCGGGCCCAGACATGCCAGGTCAGTGGTGCATAAAATCACTTGAAGGGCTAATCAAACCACAGATTGCTGGGCCACACTCTGCTCTCCCTTAGACTATTAAAGCAACACGGCCTTATTCACGAATCCACCCCTCACACCAGCTTTGCTTTGGAATTCTTTGACCCTTAGACTATTTAAGTAACATTGCCATCTACTCTTGTGTATACAGCTTTAAGGGCATGCTCTGTTTCAATGCCTATAGCGACAGCAAAGGAATCTCAGCAAACATTTAGATAATTCCATAGTGAGGAAAGAACAATGTTAGGAGATTCTGATGTAATGGGTTCAGGAATGGGCCCTTGAACTTGCATTTCAAACATCCTCAGGTGATGCTAATGCTGCTGATCTGGGAATCACATTTTGGGAGCCACTGTCTGGGTCATTCCACAGATGTCGGCTGTTGTGGTTTAATTGCCATGATTAAAAGCAGTGGTTCTTGGCCCTGAGCACACAGTTGAATCACCTTAGGAGCTGTTTGCTGTTGCCCAAGTTCCATTTAGAGGTAGTTAAATCAGAATAGCAGGGCATGGGGCCTGGGCACTGTCATTTAAAAAATGTCCCCAGACAGACTGCAAGGTGAGTAGCCCTTCCTGGGACTATATAGAGCACCAGCTGCATACTTGTTAATAGGCCTGAGTTTCAGCTGCCTATCAACAGGCCTGGGTCTCAGAGGCAGTCTGTTCACAGCACAGATGAAAATTCAAGGACAGACTACGCTGAAAAAAGTGAACAGAACTTACTAGACTGTCTCTCCTCTGGTTAGGAGTGAAGTCCCTTTGAATGCTGGTTTTTACTCTTTCAGGTCATTGAAAGAAACACAATACTTAAGTTCAGTAAAACCGCTAAGGTCCCCCTGACAATCTCAGGATTTCCATATCCTTTGGGATAAGCAGAAACATGGCCCAACTATGTTTTAGAATTGATGGCTTTAGCTCTTGTGTACCTCGTGCTGGACAGTGAGGAACCTGAGCCAACAAGGACCCAGGTAGGAGGGCAGGGGAATGGATGGAAGGTAGAGATCTGGGCTCTAGCACTCCCCTGGGATGTGACCAGCCATGTGACTTCTTTTCCTCTGGATCAGCAGTTCTCAGGATCACCATGGTGCTCTCTCATCCTAACATCAAAGGCTGACTTGGGGAGTGGACTCACTCATTTGTTAGATAAATTTTGAATAAATCTTGAGCAAGAAAAGAAGTTAAATCTGAGTAACTCAGCTGTGTTTTTCTGAGAAGTTATACAATTATATGATCTTGTCATAAATTTTTGTTAGCACTGCTTATATTCACCCACAAACCAGTGATTAAAAATTGAGGAGACTGAGAAACAAGAACAGGAGACAAGAAGATAGCTTGGGAGCAGAGGATAGGGCTAGAGAATGTATGGTGGCAGCAGGGGTCGGGGAGCAAAAGAGGAAACCACTACACATGTGAGTACAATCCACATGGATGTCTGACTGCTTCTGGTTTGCTTTTCCAGGCCACCATTTTTCAAAGTAATCTGTGCTATTTGCCATCATCAGTTCTCTCACTCTCTCTGCAGACCAGGAAACCCTGGCCCTATTCCCATCTTTAGCATAACCTAACTGGGTAACCTTGGGTATTATTTCAGCTCTCATGGCTTCCATTTCTTTTCTTTTTTCATCTCACTCTTTTGCCCAGGCTGGAGTGCAGTGGCATGATCTCTGCTCACTGCAATCTCCATCTCCCATGTTGAAGCGATTCTCCTGCCTCAGCCTCCTGAGTAGCTGGGATTATAGGCATCTGCCACCACACCTAGCTAATTTTTGTATTTTTAGTAGAGATGTGGTTTCACCATGTTGGACAGGCTGCTCTTGAACTCCTGACCTCAAATGATCCACCCGCCTCAGCCTCCCAAAGTGTTGGGATTATAGGCATGAGCCACCACACCTGGCCTCGTTTCTCTCCTTTTATTAAAAAAACAAAGAATAAAAAATCCCTGTTCTTTGTATCTGTAGGAATAAAATGAATAAATGATGTGGCAGTGCTCCTTGCAGGCTAGCTGGTATTCTCGTTTTCATCATCTCCCCTGCCAGGAGAATGAGTGAGGTCACCCACCTGATGCCTGGACCTCCATGATGTATTGGTGCAGATCCTGGCCCTGCTGGATGACCTCAAAGGTCATGTTGTTCATGGCTAGCTTCCGTTCTGTGTGGCGCTGCAGCCGCTGTTCTGCCAGGGTTAGGTCCTCTGTGTTGAAGTCATTCATCTGCCGAAGCAGGTCTTCATTCCAGGCATCTAGCTCTGCTGTCACCTGTGAGGGAACCACTGTCATCAGCACAGGCTCACTAGGTCCATGAAAGATGGTTAGGTTAAGGCTCACGATTCCAAGCCTTATTCATGAATCTACCCCTCAGATCATTCTCTGCCTTGGGATTCTTCAACCTTAGACTACTGAAGCAACACTGCCATGCACTTTTGTATACATGGCTCCAAGAGTGCTCTCTAGATGTTTCAATGCCTATAGTAACAGCAAGGGAACAGGAGCAAACATTTATATTATGAATTATGGCTTATAAAATTTCTGCATACTCCTTGCTGTTCAGACCTCACAATAACTTAGTGAGGCAGGCATGGTGGAGATCTCCAGGTCCATTTTCTAGAAGAGGAAGTTGACTCTCACATAGACAGATGAGGTGATTTTCCCTGCTAGAGAAGGACAAAGTTCTTCTATTGATTCAAAGACTTTTTCTACCATCCCACAATTGTAACTGTAACAATTTTCATAATTAAAGAGGTCCCCAGTAATTAAGTAGTGAATCTATTTCAGAAACAGAAACTGAGGGCTAGAAAAGCCTGGTGAATGGCCCAAAGTTACATAATCAATTAAAGACTTGGTGCCTATGAAACCCAGGGGTCCTGCTCTGGTTCCTGAGTTCTGTGCAGGATTCTGTCCTTTTATTACAAAGGCTGACACCTAAAAATAGTGACTAAACAAAGTATAAATGTGTAGCATTACCTCCAGAAATTCAAGCAGATTATAAACAATTGAAAGGCAGTAATGATTCTAATGAATACTAAAGCATGTAATGAATGGAAACATTGCCCTAATAGCAGCTTGCTAATTGTTCGTTTCTCTACACCTTAACTCACATGGCTTCACCTGGTCTGCTCTCAGTTCTCTGCAAATGGAGACTAAATCCTACACTTCCTTTACAATCTCTGCAATCACCCACAGACTAGGAACTCAGAAGCACTGAACTAGATAATTCCACCTGTGTGAATCAGAATTAAAACGGTTAAATGTGGTTTTCAGATCTGTTATCTCATGCTACCCCCATGACAGCCCTGTGAAGATGATAGCATGGGTACTGTCATATTCTTTTCTCAGAAGAGGAAAGTGTCACTCCAGGTCACACATTCCCAGGATGGCCCAGGCCATCTAAGCATATATCCCAGGGCTCTAGTTGAGTGGTTTTCATGATGCTGGGTCTCATGCCAGCTCCCATGTGGCATAACCTTCCAAATTATCAAACACTGCTGCTCCAGAAGCATCAGGAACACAGGGAGACAGAAGATAAATTGAAGCAAGCGAGAGCAATGCTCTTATATCCCATGCTGGGGGCATTCACACTGGGATGGGAAAGCCAAGCAGCCCCTCACAAGGGGCTGCTGTCTGGATCACAGAATTTCATTTTTTGTCTAACAGCAAGACCTTTCTTCAAGCAAAATAGACACAGATTAAATTGTACTTGCTCTCTTTGAAGCAGAAGTAGGGAAACTGTGAAAGTATCACCCTCACTGCCCTAGGTTCTCACTTCATACCCCACATCTTTTCAGGTCAACTTAGAGAACTGCTGAGCTCAGCAGGAAAACCCAGTATTACTTTTTGTGGGGAGTTGGGGGATCTGGAAACCAGTGGGTTGGCAGGCAAAGTAGGTTTTTGTTGTAGCCCTATCTTTGAAAAGTACTTCATTCTCTAACTAGAGAAAGGGGTTAGACTGAGGAGACTAAAGAGATTATTTATAAAAGATAATTTAGCCTGGCTGCAGTGGTTTGTGCCTATAATCCCAGTGCTTTGAAAAGCCAAGGTAGGAGGATCACTTGAGGCCAGGAGTTCAAGACCAGCCTGGTCAATGCAGTGAGACCCTCTCTGTACAAAGCAAATAATAATAAATTAGCCAGGCATGGTGGCATGCACCTGTTGTCCTAGCAACTTGGGAGGCTGAGGCAGGAGAACCACTTGAGCCCAGGAGTTCAAGGTTGCAGTGAGCTATTATTATGCCACTGTGCTCCAGCCTGGGTGACAGAGACCCTGTTTCTTAAAAAAAAAAAAAAAAAAAAAGCATAATTTAAAGTATAAGTAGGCTTTTATAGAACTAGGCCTGTAAATATCTTTTTCATTACTGTATTTTAAAAACTAAAGCATAATTTACATATAAAATACACATATTTTAAGCATTCAGTTCTGAGTCTTGACAATTTTATGCACCCGTGTAGTCATCGCCAAAAATAAACTATAGAGCTTTCCATCCCCCTAGGGAGCCTACATGTATCCATTTCTCCCCTCCTCAACCCACAACTAGGTATCACTTTCTGATTTCTATCATCATAGATGTAGTTTTGCCTATTCTTAAATTTCATATGAATAAAATTATACAGAATATTGTTTTTCAACTTCTGGCTTCTTTTGTTCAACATGTTGTATCAACATTCATCCATGTTGCTGTATGTACCAGTAGCTCATTCCTTGCTATGGCTGAGTAGAGTACCATTGTACAGATATGGCACAACTTGTTTATCCACTCTCCTGCTAAAGAACTCTTGGGTTGTTTCTAGTGTTTGGCTAATATGAATAAGGTTGATGTGAAAGTTCTTATACATGTCTTTCTGTGGACACAGGTTTTCATTGCTCTTGCATAATAACTAGGGGTGGAATTATATATAGGTCATAGGGTAGGTGTATGTTTAACTTTATAAGGGAACCATCAGAGTTTCTCAAAATGACTGTAATATCTGACATTCCCAGTAGCAATGTACTCAAGCTCCAGTTGCTCTACATCCCCACCAACATTTGCCATTATCGTTCTATTTAATTTTAGCCATGCTAGTGGGTGTGAACTGCTATCTCATTATGGTTTTAAGTTGTATTTTCCCGATGACTCATGATGGTGACAACATTTTCAAATGCTTATTGACCATTTGTATATCTACTTTTTTGTAGAATGTCTTTTTAAGTCTTTTGCCCTTTTAAAAAAACTGAGTTAATTAACTTTTGATTGTAGATTGGTAAAAGTTCTAAATATTTTCTGGATGTTAAATTCTTTGCCAGATAATATATTTTCCAATAGCCCAAATCACAAATTTTAGTCCATTTTCTGGCCTACAAACTAAAGGGAATTAGAATAAAACTAAGACAACAAGCATAAAAGGAAGAGCCTGCCTTTTTCTTTTGATTTTAGGTTTTGTTTCCGTGAGACTGAGTCTATGATGTATCTATTTGTTGCAGTAAGATCCGAGGAGTCCAGTGGCCAGGAATCTACAGAGTGGAAGGTGCTGACGGTCCTAGTGAGGGAGAACAGAGTCAGGCTGGGAGGCTTTAGTTAAGAGTGATCTCAGAGGTCTGGGTTCTTGGGAATTCAAATCTAAGCTAAATGTGAAGTATGTCCAGGATTCTACATCTGGTGCTTCTATATTCTTTCCTCTCGTCTCCTTACCTTTCTCCACTCTCATCACCTGACACCATTGGATTGAGGAACCCAGGTCTGTTGTGAATCCTGAAGAACGAGAATTTCCAGGGCCTCCTCCAAAGGCTGTCCTCCCCGGGTCCACAGGCTCTCTCCTTTTTCTGTTGGACTCCCCCTCCCTTCTCTCCCCAGGAACTGATGCCCACAGCTTTCAATTAGTCTGATTTGTGTGTTTTTAATGTATACTGGAGTTTATTCTCTCTCCTAAGTATTTCCTGTTTCCTTAAGGAATGTTTTTTCATTGGGTTCTTCCTTCCTACCTTCTTTGTGGGGCCAAGGCTGGAAGACAAGAGGGCCTTATTTTTTAAAAAGGAAAACAGTTGTTTTCAAACCTGAAGTTGACCTTATTGCTAATAAACAAACCTAGCTTTCCAGCCTTACCTTGTGTTCTTATGAATCAGTCAGATGGTTTACTTGTTGATGCTGAGAGCAAGTTCTGCCCTCTCCAGCCTTCTTCACTCGTCGAAGAGCCCTGAAATGCCCTTGTCCCTCCTCCCAGTCTGCTCAAGCCCTGACTACCCTTCAAAGTGAACCCTCTGGCATGAAGAGCTTCATGACAACTCCCAGATCCAGATATTTTTCTCTGACTTATCTAATAACATAGGTCATGGGTTAGTTTGCTAATGCAGAGAGACACTACAGAAAAGAAAAGCCTGCACCAGAGAGTGTATTTAGTAAGTCCATTTGGAGAGAATTTGTTCAGGTTAGAAACTAGGGCCTGAAGCCAGTGAATAAAAGATGAAACACAAGGTTCCCAGAGGGTATTCTGCTGTCAGTCAACCTATTCTGCTTTCTCCTTCCACTCAGCTACCTCCATCTCAGCTCCTGGCCTGCTCAGTTCCCCTCCTGCTCTAGTGGCCTCTGTCTCCCCTACTCTCCTGAATTAATTGGACAGTTAGGAAATGATGACTTCTTGGACAGGTACATTGGCAATATTTCTATTCTAACAATGGCCTACTCTAGAGACATCAATAAGAGAAATCAGAGAAAGAGCCAAAATTTAAAAAGGGTAAGAAGCAGCGGGAAATGGAAAATGGGAAGTCTCACTTCAAAAAGAAGGGCAAGGTGTTCCGGCCAGATGAGATTCACCAAATCCAGTATTCTGCCATCAAAATTTGCTCTGTAGGAGTTGGTTTCACAGTCACTTTGAGCTCTGTTTTCAGAGAACCCTCTCCATTGGTTCCTCCTGTTTTCTCAGTCTTCCCCAGTATTTATGTGTAGAGAAAACTATAGTCCCTCTTCACCAGATGTTTTGATCTGTATTTGCCTGAATCACAATTCGCCTACCCATTTTGTTCCGTACTTCCTGTGGTCTATCCACTTCAACTCTTTATCACCTGCAACATTGGAAATCTCACTGTGTAGTTCTTTCTTTAGATCAGTGTTTTGATGCTGGTGATGATTATGAAGAAGATATGATTGAAGAAGACATTTTACATTGTATTGTGCATTTATTATGGGACAGGCAGTGTGTTAAGTGTCTGATCAACTTTATTTAATCCTCATAGCACTATAGGAGGAAATGAAAGCACCGAGAAATCATACTTTTTCCCATGGTTTCAGAGCT